CACACGTACCCAGTTAATAACCGAGTCTAAGAGAAGCGACAAAGCGACAATATACACAAGTCAAAGAAGTCGAAATCGAAGTCAAAGAAGAAGTTAAAGACAAAGCCGCCGTGGTAAAGAATAGTTTGTGACTCCAGCTCAGCTTCGTTGTTGGCTTTAGTGTTCTTGGCAGTGAAGTGTTTGTGTCAGTTGGTGTTTTGCAGCGATCTAGAAAGAACGTGTCTTTCTCCCGATCACGGATCCAATTCAGTACACACAAATACATCACTAAGCCGCACATAGGCGCACACTTATATACCACACATAGATAGATATATTGTGGTGTAGTTCTATATATAATAGTGCAACAAGTTGAAGAATTGGTTATTAGTGTTCGATTAATTGGCGGAAAGAGTCTACTTGTTTGTGTCTTCTTCAAAAAGAAATGGCGAAAATTATTTTAATCTGTTTACTGAGCGTGTTAGCCTGCGTCTCAGGTTTGTACCATATACATAAATTCAATACATAAGTTTAAGTGAATAAGAACATTTATTATGTAGAAATAAGTATTTTTTTTTTGTTTTTGAAAATTCGAAGAGGATGGGAAGTGTTCATATGGAATAAAAAAATATTCGTGCGAAATATGTTGAAAGCTTCCGCCGCGTATGGGCGTAAAAGCGAAATAAAATTTTTTTGTTTCTAAAATAAATGTTTCCAACGAAAATCATTAATCATAGAGCAACATATCCTGTGTCCTCCCTGCGTGTAAAAATGCACCACAGAAAGTCGAATACATGCAAGCGTGGATAATTTTCAAATGTGTGTGGAATCCTGTATGTATCTGGCGAGAAAAAAGGTGGATGCAAAAAAACGCCTGACAGTTATTAGAATATTTTCTAACAAAAATGGAGGGAATAATAGCGAAAAATTATAAATGACTGGGGCGGAATTGCAACCAATTTTTGAAGAGTTTTTTAAAGAATGTTTTAAGGAGTTTTTTAAAGGGTTTTTTAAGGAGTTTTTTAAAGGGTTTTTTAAGGCTCTTTTCTTTTAACTTTCGTAAGATTTTAAATATTTTTTTCTAATTTTTTCAAATATTTTTCATGTTTTTAAGTTTTTGTAATTATTCTATTTTAGACATTTTCTTTTTATTCTTTCATTTGTTTCTCAAAATTTTTTTTACAAATTAAAAAAAAAATTATTTTTATTTTGATTATTTTTTTAAGAATTTCTTTTTTGATAAAAAAATAAATCTTAAAAAATACAAACACAGAATTAATAATAATAATATATTGGCGCTTACACATATGTTAGTGTTTGGCCGAGCTTTTCTCCGATCAGAATTATTGAGTATTATACCTCGGTTTGTTTTTAGCAAAAATTAAAAACAACCAAAAAAGCTATAGCTTTTACTTCGGAGATCACCGGATCTCCTAAATAGACACCTTTTTTTAGACTTCAGCAGGGATCGAACACTCGTCACCGACGGCACACCCCGTAGAAATATTTGAATATATATTTTCTACTAAACATTTTTTAAAGGGAAAGATTTAAACAAATTAAAAAATAAAAAAATATAAAAAATATAAAAAAAAGTTATAAACAAAAATAAAAGGGATTTGTAGAATTCTTAAGTTAAATAAAATTAAACATAGTTTTATGGATTTTTTACGTTACATACAAAAATTATTATTTTGAAGGCCAGTTTTAACTTTCCTTTAATTTTTTTATTTTGAAATTAAAAAAAAAAATTTTAGCTTCCGTGAATATTTAAGTTTAGAGCTTTCCATTTAAGACCAGAATATGATCAACTGTGAATTACAGCTGTTATAACTAAAGCTTAAAATTCCTTCCAAAAAATATCAAACAACTTCTAAGTTCTTTGCAACTATTTATTATTCAATAATTTTCTAAAGATTAATGATTTGTAGCTTTAGCTATAGAAATAGGGAGTTAATTTAAAAATTTATGTCGTTTTCCTCTTTTTCAAGGAATGATCCTTTATTAAAAATTTCAGGGTTATTTTACAAGGACGTACGTTTAACATTTTGAACATTCTAGAAATCTCGTTAATTGCATATTTTGCGCGGCATCCATGAATTTATAATGAAAAAAAATTTAATTTGTTTCTCATAATTGCCTTTTTTTAGTAGATTAAATACAAAATTAATTTAAGGGGTCAAGAGTAGTATAAAAATGGAAATTGAAAAAGTATATTATTTTAATTTTTGTCAAGGAAAATCGAATGTCGACCCGAAGGTCCAGAAGGAAACGAATGTCAAATAATAAACTTGAACCTGATACATTACTTGATTTTTTATTTTCGAAATTTTAATTTTTTTTTTTAATTTTAACTGAAAAACTGAAAGAAAGTTATGTAAATTAAAAAAAAAATGTATGTAAAAGTACTTCAATAATATTGCTTAACATGCCTAGGTTTGTCAAGATTTTTCAGAATTATTAAAAAATATGTTGCTTTAAAACTATTAAAAAAAAATTGCTTTAAAACTCTTTCGGGTGATTAGATATGCTTTTTGTAAATTTTTTAGCATTTAATTTTTTTTTTTTGAACTACTTCTTTCAATTAATTTTTCACATTTTTAATTAAATTAATTTTTAATTGCTTCACTTTACAATTTTTTATTTATGTACATATTTTTTAGTTATTTATTAATTTATTTTTAATTTTTTTCTTTACAATAAATTTATAAATTTAAAAATTTCGCACTATTTTTTCCAAGAGACGCTAATGGCGTTTTCTTTTCTCGAAATAATGTCGCATTCAAATTTGCGTTCACAGCATTTTCACTGGTTTGATTGTTCTTTTCTCAACATAGAAGAGCCGACAAAAGTGCAACATTTTTTGCCCTTCTTAAAGCGTAAGGATGAGTGTTGCAAAACAGATTTTGATTCATGTTCTGTAATAATTATTACTCATAAAATATTTGAATGCTATAATTGAAGTGAATGGAATGATTTTATTAAAATTAATAAAATAAATGGCGAATAAGTTAGTGGATTCATGAATTTTCAAGTTGGCATTTGTTTTGTTCTTTTTTCATACAAAAGTATGAAAGTCAACCTTTTGACAGAGCGCAGGGGAACATTTAAATAATGTTGCCAAATATTGCGGCAACATTTTCATTAAGAAAAGAAGACACTATAAGCAAAAAAAAACACTGTGCAACCAATTTTCATTTAAGCTTTTAATCTAGGATGACATTTGAAGAAATCGAATCTATCCAGCCAGCAACACAAGGGGTCACCTTTAAAGTATGACATATCTATGTTCTTGTCGCGAGGAGGCAATTTTTTTATACCAAAGTTTATTGACCTCTAGTACCCTGTTCTAACCCCACCATATCTCAGCTCCTACCACCCCAAGGTATATCAAAGCTCTCCATAAATCATTAATTTTTTACTATTATTCCATTACAAGTAATTTAAATAAATTTTTATTGCCGAATGTATGTAGGTGTTACCGAAAAATTAAAAAAAAGGCGACCCTTTCGTTCGGTAAAAAAAAAATTGTTCGAAATTGCCTTGCAAAAACACTTGGGCTTCAAGAACTGCCGAAATTCTCAAAAAGCGTTGACATCCTAAATGATGTATACTTCGAATATACTTAAAAACCTCTGACATTTGATATGTGATTACTATGATTTATTGGGGAACGATTTTCCGGCATCGCTTGACAAATTTGGTTTGGAGGCGAACCGGTTGTGCCCACTTCAGTTTAATTTTTCATTCTGAATTATTATATCTGGGCTAATTTTCTTTCGACTCTTAAGAAAATTTTTAAATTTTGTTAAAAGGTTTTTAAGTTTAGTGCAAAAATAGATAGAACACTAAGGTTAAAAATTTGGTCATTGTAATACATATTTCAAATTCCAATTCAACTTGATTAATGCTAATAACTCAACTACATATCTACATATATATTTTTAGCGACCCGAAATTCTTAGCAATTTTTTATTTTTATTTTTTGCTTTCAAAAAAATTAATATTCTAACTGCGCTTTTTATTATTTTACTGACTTGCTCTACCAAACAGTTATCAAAAAGCATACACAAATGGGGTCGTTGGCTTTATGGGAGTGAAGACCATAACTTAGAAAGGAGTTGTGAAAAAGTCGCGCATGGTGATCTAATCAAGTTCTAATAAGTTCATAATAAATATATGATAAATTATTAACTGTTAAATACTATTAGCAGTTAACATAAGCGTTGAGTAAGCGGAAGTTTAGTTTTCATATAAGGTAGTTTGGTAAGGTAGGTACAGTGACTCAAACAAGTGACCACGTGTTGATTTTTTTTTTTTTTTAATATTCACAATGTTTTTCAAGTAAAATTTCTTTGTTATTTTTCTTTCACGTGTTTTATATAAAGGACCAAAAAACTTGTAAGACGCTGGGGAATCTAAAAATACGCCAGGAAAAAAAGCGTAAGCAAAATTTTTGTTTGAAAATTTATTTTTGACGCAGAAATGTATTTTGATGACCTAGTAGCATTTCTGCATGGAAAAGAAAATTTCATAAAGAATTTCGCTTACGTTATTTTAGCCGTATACATACATATGTATAAAAAAGCTTTCAAATCAACACGGCTTTATATGAAAGTAATGTTTAATAAGAAAATGTTTAAAAAGAGCTTTACTTAACCTAAAGCTGAATTAGTAATAGTTTTCTAGAGGTAGATTTTGATTCTATATCTTCTTTGGATACATTTTTTTTATTTGCGTACATTCATATCAGTTTTCTCTAAATTTTTTTTTTTTTATAATATGGAATTAAATTTTTCGGCTTCAAACGTTTTAAATATAACCATTCCAATTAATCTTAGCCTCCTTTAAATGCATATTTTCTTTAATTTAACTCAGCATTACAAAAGAAGTAAAAAAACCACTAATAATTGATGAGTCATGCATGAATCTACATAGTATGTACATCCATTAGAGTGCCGCACCAAAATATGTTGTGGTTTTCCGCCGGACTCATAAAATGTATTATATTTTAAGACTTCCTTTCGCCTAAATATTTCGGGAAAATATTAAGATTTATGTGAGCTGCATCGATTTGGAAATATCACCAAAAAATCTCAGTACATATTCTGATTCCCGATACCACTTTTTAACATATGTATTTAGGCAGAGCTTTTACGCCTAAACTTTTCTTTTTTTGCAAAAAAAAAAAATATTTTTAAAACTCAATTTTTTTTTTACTAAAAAAAAGCTAGTTTGTTGGAGGTATTTTCAAATCGGTCCAGCTCTCGTAAATCTTAATATTTCAGCGAAACATTTTGGCGAGTCTTAAAATATACAAAATTTTTTATAATTCCTTTTTTTTTGTACAGAGAGTGATGCATCCTAATGTGCATACATACATACATACATATATGTGAAAAGTAGTTTTACTTTTTTTATTGCATTTTTTGTATTTACATTTTTAGTTTCGTTTGTTTCTGTTGACCCTTTTTTATGCGCTTCACAAAGGGTAAGCGGGCATACTGGGGCCGTGACACTTATGTATGTATGTATGTAAGAACATACATGTATGGACATTCCTTAAGGCACTTAAGCACACAAATAACCATACAATTTTATACGCATACTTATATATGTACGTATACTTTTGAAATGCATTTATGCATGCTTGCAAATGGATATGTACATATGTATGTATGTATGTAAATGGCTACGTGTGTGTAAGTGCACACTTGGCTTAAGAAAGCCAATCAGTCAGCCATTCATCCAACTTTTAGCGACACAAGAGGTGACGTTTCCTCATCTGCGACATTCGTCAAAAAATCGTTTTATATAAGAAGAAGAATAAACAAAAAATCAAACAAAACAAATATGCATAAATACTTATAAGAAAAACAATTATCATATGCATATACAAACTTAAAGAAGTAAAAATATCAATGAAAGCAAACAACGCACGCGACACACATGTACATACATACTATGTGTGTAGGTATGAATTTGTGTACAGTAGGATGCCCCACGAAAAATAAAACAATAGGGACGGCAGCGTTGATCACAATTAACTCGTTAATTCGGAAATATCTCGGCAATTAACTGCAGTTTATCCGGATTAAGTCATAGAGTTAATTCTTAAAATGAATGCGGATCATAGGCATTTTCGTGGTCAAAGCCGCACACTTAGCGGAGCCAAGCTAGATGCCCAGTGTGAGCTATTTCCAAAAATAATATCTTATTATTATTACCTCTACTTTACCTTATTATTTGTAGATGTAAATACTTTAATTTTATAAAAAGGTTCACAACTCTAATTAAGTTTACAAAAAAATAGAAGTAATGAGAAATTGAAGAATGGCAATATTGCCATCTGTCGTGGTGCAATTTTAATCGGATTGGCTGCTGTCTATGCTCTAAGTTAATCATAAAATTTTGTCTTTCCCATGAAATATGTTATCTCAATCCTGTGCCATTCGTTAGCTGAAGCATTTCCGCAAAGAAATAAAATCTTTTTTCTTTCACTATTCATGTATTGAAAAATTAAGCATTTTACATTCAACTTTTGCAGTGAAAAAATGTTCGAAATTTTCAGGGTTTGAATGAGTTAATTTTTCAAAAAAGTGCAACGAGTGGAAAATCTTCTTCTTCTTCTGTGGAAGTGGAAAATACCTTTTTCTTAATGAAAAGAATTTCAAAACTGTATTAGTACCTGAGTTATTCACTTTTTCTTAAAGCATTTATTGCGAATTTGTATAAAAAGTTACATCAAAAATTTTATTATTTTTAGCACGAATGAATTTCTGAAAAAAACCCTTTCTTGCAAATCTCTTACATTTTTTCATCTTTTCATCAAGGTTGGGACTTGAAAATTCATAAACCGCAGTGAATTTAAAAATAAATGCAGAATTTTATGGCAGGAGATTTTTAGTTTAAGTCTTTTTTTAATTTACAAACATTTTACATTAACAACAAAACATATTTTGCATACAAATACATACATCTTACATATGTTACAAAAACAACTTTTACTGATTTAAAATATCTACACATATTTTCCGCCGACAAATAAAGGCTTTTTTGTCTTGAATTAAACAGAAAAATACAAAACTTAACCCTTAAAACAAATTGCAGCAGAGTTGAATAAACCGCAGTGACGCAGTAGAACATTCCATTTTGCTAAAAAGCGCAGTAAATCTACCGCAATTGCAGTAAAGTTCGAACGTTGCTTCTCATGCGCTTTTATGGAGAAAAAAGTTTGCAACATAAATATTTTAAATAAAAATATTAAAAAATAAAGACTTTGTGTAACTATTTATTTTTAAAGTGCTTTAGGCCTAAGCTAAAATATTTGGGTGGGAGTTATAAAATTTATGAAAATTTTTTATTCGCTTGGAGAAGGTCAACCAATTTTTCATTATATGGAGCAAGAGTCACTCTAATGCATGCAAATGTAGCAATATTAGAACGGCTATTAGCATTTTCGGAAACATTGTCCTTAAAGACAAATACATATAGTGCTTTTAAAAGGAATAGTAGCTCTTATGTAGAATTAAACCAGCATGGTGCATACTAATTTTTGACCGACAAGTGTTCGTTATTGGGTGTTTAAGCTATTACAGTAAAAAAATTCATTTTTTTATCGACAAATACAATGAAAACTAACATTTTTTTTTTAATTTTGGTATGCTACTACTTTTTATGATGTGAAAGAGATCTAAATTCATTAAAAATGCCATCACTGAGAAAACCTATAAAAAACAAAAACAATTTTGGCTATTTTCAGGGCGAAATATGTATCGCGAAAATAATTATCCAAAGTAAGCTTTAAAACTATGGTCGGCAATTAATTTGTTTTTTCGTACCGACCCGGTTTTATGTAGTACCTATATATTTATGCATGCACATTAGGGTGCCTACCCACAAAAAGTTACAGGTTTTCCACCAGAATTATATAATTTATCATATTTTAAAACTTCCGCTAAAATATATCGAAAAAATATAAAGATTTATTTGAACATGACCGATTTGAAAGTACATACCTCAAAAAAATTCAGAATTTTGATTCCGTTGATAAAGTTAAAAAATATGTAATAAATTTTTTAATTCCGAGGGGAAAAATAGTAACGAGTTTTTTATGGATAGTGATGCAGCCTAATGTGCATACATAGGTATGTTCATATGTATGTGTATGTATGTATGTAAGCTTTCTTTGCTGCCACCCAGCTGCATTTCTGACGTGAACTTTACTTTCCGTTTATGTACATACATACATATGTATGTATGTATGTGCTTTGGCATTAACTGAAAAAAATTTTTAAATTTTATATAAAAACATATATGTATATACATATGTATATTTTATATTCTTGCGCTTATTAAAACCATGCTCACACTTCGAGGTGCTGGAAACATCTATCGGAAGTGGGAACACATGTTCAGAATAATTTATATACTCCGATGGCAGTTAGATTGTCAATGCGTGTAGAGTCGTTTAGCAAACAAACCAGAAACAAAAAAGAAATGGAAACCAAAAATAAAAAAAAAATGCATAGAAAATAATGAAGTACAAACAATCGCAACAATTTGATTTCGCTTTTATACCCACGCAAACATTCGCTGCCCTTACTTACACCAATGTAAAGTCAAACAAAAGAAAAGATGTTAAAATAGAAACAATAAAATAAATAATTTAACACAAATGCACTTGCATGCTTTATGCAACCGATCCTCTACCTCAAAGAAACACACACATACACACACACACGCCAACCTCCAATACTATTTATAACTTTGTACAATGTGCATCAACTGCAATTTATATTCGCAGGGCAACGCATCACCACCATTCACCTGGATGGCGTACAATATTTTATTAGCCGCATGAATCCCTATTCACCTGAACTCAACTATTTCCTGGCCTATCAATACTGCCGTTCGTTGGGCCTGCAATTGGCGTCCTTTGAAACAAAAGAGAAGGCCGAGTCAATGACTACATACCTAAAGAATGCCGGCTATGGTAATTATGATTTCTGGACTTCCGGCAATCGTTTAGGCACTGGCATGTTCCTATGGATGAGCACTGGCCTGCCATTCAATGCGACTTTTGATTTCTTCGAAAATTCAGCTGATGCCATACAAGCTGGTCTGCTAGATCCAGTCGATCATAATAGCAATACGTCACCACAGCGAACGGCGCGCGACAGGTAAGTGATGAGATGATGAGCACATAAAAAAAAAAAAAAAACTAAATATGCCAAGCACGCGATGAATTGCTTGGCTTTATTAGTCATTAAAAGTAGAAATGATAGAATAGAAATTAAACAAGAAATAGTGTTCGGATAGACTCGAATCGAGTTTAAAAACTCAATGCGAGAAGCATCTTCTAAAAATAAAACGGGCCAACCAGAACCAAATTTGCTAGTAGGTCTGTGTGCAGCGCATTTTTAGGCTTTGTAGATATTTGATATTAATGGCCACAGACAAAAGCTCACTAGATAAGATTAGGTTTCAGGTTTAGGCCGGTCTGTGAGATCTGGCATAGACAATTGGTTGGTCCTTAGGCTTACCGAGAAAGCCTTAGTTATAATTCACTTTTTAGCTAGTTTTAACCATTTCCTGGACTTTTGGTCTGCAATTTCCTTCAGCGAGGCAAATAAAGCAGTGGCAGCTGAGTTGCAAATCCTCCGAAAGCTGAACAATGGCATAGCAGATATTTTAATGTGCCTTTAAGCGCTACAAAGGCGTAGACATGCCCCGTATTGTTCACTTTGTGTCAGTCCTAAATTAAACGAGGGGGCGTCTGCATGTTGGGATGAAAAATCGTTTCAGTGAGAATCGTGATTGTTAATTCTAAGGCAGATGTATGCTGGCTCATTTCAGCTTCCAGATCATTTACCAATAGGGTGAGCTGTACATTTCTGAAACAATTTTTCATTTTCTGTGCAAGAAAAGTTCGTGCCTTAAGTCTTTTGTTTACTTAATTTGCATTATTATCTTTCTGTTCTTTTTAGATTAATTCTAATATTCAAACATTTAAAGTTAATGCAGCGCTATGAGGAAAATTGTATTATCTGTCAGAACGTTCCAGAGACTTTAGTTCCCGAATTGTTCTTCCGTGAGAAAGTTTCTTAGAGTTTTGTTAACAATTTGTTATCTTAAAAATGTACCCGAAAGTATTTTTAAAAGTTTTTTCCGCTTGAGGAACCTTCTCCAGGGTTTTGTTCTTATATATAATCGCCGTTGAGAACGTTCACCATGCCTTTGTACCATGCCTTCTCATGATCAACTAAAGTAAAGGATTTCGTACCGAAATCAGAAACTCATATGCCGAACTACAGCAAGCTTAAATTCGATCAAATGATCTGAAAATAAAAAGGCCAAATAGACCCAGGGGTTGTAGAAAGCAGCTTGCGCGCTTATGTGAACCTTTAACTGACTTCTACAGTTTTTATAATGAACTAAGGGGTCAGAATGTAATAAGGTACCGAAACCAGAAACTCAGATTCCAAACTGCAGCAAACTTATATCTCATCAAATAAAAACGGAACGACGAGATCAAACAAATATACTCGTAATTCAGCTGAAACAAATCTGTAGAAATTCTTACGCCGAACCTGTAAGGTGAAGGAGTTCTCTTTGTTGATATTCCAGGGATGAAGGCTTTAGCCTGACTTTTACCTCTGCTTGGTAAATTATCTGGGAGTTGAAAAACCCACACGAGCACTTTTCGGATCTCATTTATGTGGACGAACTGAGAGTATATTTTAACGTCTTTAGGACGACAAATAAGTTAAGAGAGGGGCGTAAAAGTAGACGTTAACCAATTTAATCAATTGAAATCCCTTGATATGCTTAATAAAAAACTTTTTGTCCCGGAAAGATGACAAAATATATTGTTAGGATATATGTATGTACATCTAATATATTATTTTCTAACTACTTGCAAATCACTAGATTTTCATTTATGCCATTTCTCAATGTTAACTTTCCGATTTCGTTTCACCATTTCAACCCTCTACAGCAGTAGCGGCGCTGAGAAGGGATGCGTCATATTGAAACAGCCAACATTGAAATGGATGCCCGAAGATTGCTCGGCTGTGAAAGATTTCATCTGTGAACAGACTCGATGCTATTACTACAACTATGGCAGTATTCCAGTGTCGTCGGCGCAGGGGTAAGGACACCACTCAAAACGCACTGAACAAATCAGCCAACAAAAACAAAAACAAAAAGCAATACAGAATAAAGCACACACATTCACTGACTATAATATCGAAAAATTTAAAGCGAAAATAATAAAATAACTAAAGTAAATTAATTAAGAAGTAAAGAAAATAAATAAGGGAGTGAAGAAAAGAGACCATAATAATTAAAACAAAAAATATATATATCATAAATTATAACATTCACAGCAAGAAACAAAACAAAACATGGAGATGAAGCAGAAACGAAGTTTATAAGCAATAAATAAGCTTTTAAATCAATTTAATATATAATTTTTGAAATATTGCTAAAAATCGTACAACACAAAACCCATTTGCACAATAAAATATTTAAAACTTAAGCAAAATAGTAACAGCAGCGCTGAATTTGTGAAATTATTACAATTACTTACAAGTAATGTGAATTAACTACTATGCCAATTTTTTGTAAAACTGAGTATTCACCAACACAAGCGTCAATAAAAAAAATACATACAAATATAGGTGAGCTAAACCCCAAATCATAAAAAACAACACTAAAAAACTAGCATTTAAACACATTAAGTAAACGCTAATCCTTAATTACGTCGAGTACAGTGACTCAGAAAATTGTTCAGCGTAGGGAAAAAATATAAATTTAAGGAGAAATTAAAAAATGTCGGACTATTCGAAGAGTAAGGATTATCTAGAATTTTTACAAATTTGAGAATAATTTTCAAACCGCAAAATAAAAACTCCAATTTTAAATTTATACCTTAAATCAAATTTTGTGAGAGAAATTTTTTTATATAAAAATCACATTGCGTCATTTTATGTGATGTGATTTTGTGTGATGTGATTTTTAAATGACAAAATTCCCGAACAAAACTTTTATTTTTTTTTATTTATTTATTGGGATTTCAGAGCATTGCTAAAAATTTTGAAAATAGCTTTTCTTTTAAGTATAAATTTTGAAATATTTGTAGCACATAATTAAAAAAATTTAGAAAATACATTTTTCGTAGAAAAAAACGGCTGTGTTATTAAAAATCTCTGTGCCCAGATTCGAAAAAAGTAAAAAATTCCAAAAGTTTATCGAAAAATGTTTAGCTGTAAGTTTCTCCAACAATTTAAGTGAAAAATGATATTTTCCCTTCAGTCAGTTTTCATGCTAAATAAAAAAAAATTGTAATTTTTCACTTAAATTTCTTCCGTGAAATTGGTAAACATGGGCACTACCACAAACAATCGTTAGCTAAAAGTGAGAATAATTTAGTGTGCCTAATTCATTTTGTATGCTGTCGCGTTTTTATCGTTACGCTCATATGTACTTGCATACGTAAACGCGATGTTGATGCTCTTTGAGTTCTCTGGGCAAGTAAATAAATTTTTTTCTTTTATTTAAAATAAAGTTTAGGCTTCCCATTTAACGAAATGATTTAAATACTTTTTTTTTAAACAATACATTAAAATTTAAGACGCGGACAATTTCCCGAGTCACTGTATAAATCCATATTACTTACGCTTGGAAAAAATAACGTTATAAACCAATTATCTTCTGTCATTTTAAAGTCTGAATAACGTTTCATTTCGCTACTAACAACACATCAACAATAACAATAGCAAAAAATCTCAAATACACGCCAACTTGCTATCTTTGGCAATAAAAAATTTGTTGAATTTTTTTTTATGCGCTTGATGCCCATCTCAGAAATATCCGCCATACATTTGAATACGCTTGTATCATATTTGTACTCGCATACATATTTTTTATGAAAGTATTAACTTGTTAAAAGTATATATATATATATTTTTTTTGTAAACGTTTGATAACATCTACTAGTACTCGTATTTTTAAAAATTTCATGGTTTGGGGCTTAGCTGCTTGTACAACACAAAAATGGAAAGCAAATATTAAAAGACAAAAATATCAAAACAAAGTAAAAAAAAAGAAACAAATAAAGAAATTATTTGCCATGTTTTGGTGCCTATCTCACGATCGCCCATCAATAAAACGTACATTAAGGATTACACGCCTCTTTTGTTGCTATTGTAACATTTAACTCTAAGTAGAGTCGCATATGTATTTGTTAGTTTAAACTCGCACTCTTTTTTGCACCTCTTAACAGCTTTCGCACACTTTTGTGGCCGTAGGTGTGTGTTTGTATGCAGGCGTGTCTGTGCGCATGCGATACGCGTTGTACGTGGATCGTAAAAGAAGATATTGTAGATTAATGTCGAACTGCGCATGCGCACATACTTCAACATGCACACACACACACACCCGCACACGCCCATAGAATTCTTTGACTTTCGCAAATTTCCAAACAACTTTTAATTCACTTCGAACTCTTTTTTATTGCCGAAGTTCCACGCTAATTACATTTTTATTGCTTATCTTTTTTCACCCCATCTACGCACCTGCCAAACGCACACAGTCGACCCGTCACCTCTACCACTTCACGTCCCACTGTCGATCCAACTAAATTGAGCCTATCCACCACCCCGTTGCCGCTTACCATGTCCACATACACCCCTTTCTCGAAGCGTTCGCACCAGGATGATCATGATGAACCGCAATTGTCCTTTGTCTCACTGAATCTCGATCATGATCTTGAGAGCGGTGAAGAGGAGCCGAAGAACGATGAACACGAACAAGAACATGACCATGACAGTTTCGATGCTGAGGATGAAGAGGAGGATGACAAGAAGCGTACACTGCCCGTTTACGACAACAGCAATAACAGTTTGCATGCACACAACAACAAAGAATTGGTAGAAGAGCACGCCGTACAAGCTGCACACCAGGATGCCCAACAAGAAGCTGTCGAAGAGGAGGATGATGATGCCACCAACGATGAGAACATTTCGGCATCGTCGCATGAGGAAAGCGTCGATGATGTGGACACGAAGAGCAATACTGTAGGCGAAGATCAATTGAAGACCCTTCCTGTGCCGGCTATTGCTTCGCCCGCCGAAGTGCCTACCGTTGAAGTGCGTCTCAAGCAAATCTCGCAAGAAATCGAAAAAATGGCTGCCGCCAATAATGACAATCAACGTCATAATAATGCGGCAACAGGTGTATTGCATCATGACAACAACGATGTCGATCGACAATCGTTCCTCTCGCTCACCGATCTTATACGCACACTACGTCCGAACAATAAACAAATCATACCACAAATCGATTCGGATTACTCAAATGCCATGCGAGTGCTGGGCGAAACATCTGAGGTGGTCAATAATGAGGACACACACAAGTTCTACGACAAAGATATGCATTAAGGAGAAAGTGTGAGAAAGGGATGGAGAGAGCAAGATGGAGGGACAGAGAGAAAAGAAAATAAAGAGAAATGAGGAAGCAAAGAGTGAGATGTAGAGGAATTATCGAGCGATAAAGCAAAGAAGGGCACGACCAAAGTAGGTCGTGAGCGAGGAAAGGCGTGAGCAGTAGCAGAGCGAAAACGGAAATCTTTTAATACTACTTTTAACTACAACTAATTATATGTAGATCTTACGATCTACATGTATGCGGTAAAAACTTGAATGAATATTATATTTCATTGGAAAGAAATTAAGGAAAAAAAATTATAAGCTTTAATCTCTATCTAAGTAACTGTTAATCTTTAAAAGAACATTTTAAAGTAACTATTAATCTTAAAAAGGAAAAAAACCCATCCTAACTAAAATTACATAGAAATTTTGTGTGCGCAATAAATAAAAAATTTATGTAGTATTTTTATGTTTCATGAAAATATTTTTTATAATCAGCCTGTAAAGTATTTAAACATTGTACGCCTCGGCAGGCTGGCAGAATTGCCTGTATAGCTGACTGCCTCAGAGTAGTAGTACGCGAGTAACAAATTCGTTGAGATAGTTTCGCGCACTCTTTCACTCACGTAGTATATTTGCCGAGATGTGCGAGTACTTTCGTGGCGTTTGTAGTACTATTAATAATGAAAAATTTAATTATAATTTAGTATGCGCTTGCGAAGACAATTACTTAGTACGAGTACTGAACTTTGGGAAAATCTATTTTAAATTATAATACATTACACATATACATACACATATCGTATTTTTTCATTAATAAATACTAAAAAAAACCAACAATTTAGTTTGAGTATTTACGAAATATCTTGTATGTAATATGTACTATACAATTTAAATAGTTGCACTATAGAAAGTATGTATGTACCACAATCGATTGCTATCAGCTAAAATTAAGTTAATAATGTCATGTATGTGTACTATTTGGAAAATGCACAATCACACCAAATGCATCAATAAAAATATACAGAAAACTATAAAACTTAATGACTTTTTAATTGATCCTACCTAAAAATAATATACTCTACCTAAAAATAATATGTCTTCATTAAGCTCAACTCGCAGGCGTAAAAACGTGACAACGTGACTGCGGGTTTCATATCCTCAAAATAGATCCGTTAGTTATTCGAATATATTAGTGTAATATTTAGAGGAAAAGCAGGTCACCTAGGTAACAAGGACAATCTATTACAAGAGAACTCTATTTGGTATTACACACCATACATCGAAAGAAAAGCTTGGCCAAGCACTAAGTAAATGTGTGAAGCGCCTATTGTTTTTTGTTCTTTTCTATTTAGTTACAGTTCTTCTTTGATTCACGTTTTGCTGAGAAACTTCGCGAGGTCCTTTGGCTAAATGCTATTTGGGTAATATGCTTCTGGTTATCTGGTTATCTGGTGATCTAAGGTAGTGAATGAAGTCTATGCCTATAATGAGCTTCAAACTCACATATAATGTACACGTGCTTCATTACCCTGCCGCGGCTAGCAAAAGGGCTTGCAACTATTCTTACTTCGACGGATAGGAGCCTTGGAAAAGAGAGAATATGCTTTAGAAGTGTTTCTAGATACAGCGGGATCTTTAATTAACATCTCGAAACAAGGTCGCCCATGTTAGGCTGTAGGAAGATCTCGGCACAAAGGGGCTTAGATGAGGTTACGCGAGACGTGCATAGATGTAGACCACAGGAGGGGGTGTTACGACCACTTCTATGAGGTGGTTAATAAATTACTGACGAAAATATAGAAGGAGGAGCAGCCATACTAACAGTTTATGCAGTTATCATAAGCGGCAAATGTCGAATGGCTCTTAGCTCACTGGCTTTCAGTGATTGGGTCACAAAAGTTGGACTGAGCATTAACGCAGAGAAGACTGACATAAGTAGCATTATTCACTAGGAAATAAAAGATCCCAGCTTGGGACAAATAAAAATTGGAGGAGACCACTCTTAAACAAAAGCCAAACACGAAATACCTTGGAAACGCAAGGCAACAAAGTGGCGGATGAATGTGCGAACTGCGGGCCTTTACGGCATCCAGTTGGAGTTAATTATATTCTTAACATAAGTTAAACTGTTAATGTAAATGGTTTTGAGGTTTTATTTCGAAGGTACTCAACTTCAGTTAAGCGAATGAGGTAATTACATATCACAATACGGGTGCCAGGTTTTAATTTAAAAATATTTTGAAGAGCGTTGCCACCTGTGAAAAGTCCAATTAAATCAATTATGCACTAGTTTTATGAAGTATTAAAATATGGTTGCCAAACATAAGTATTAAGAAGCCTTTAGTTACAACATTTAGAATGTTTTTGAGGTGTTTGAACTGGGTTGCCACCTTTCTAAAAAATAAAAATCAAATTCTTTAATAAGTTTAATGAATTATTAAAAGATGGGTATCAATCGAAACGGGGTTGAAGAGGCTTTACTTCTAAACTATACTTAAGAGGGTTTCCACCTGATAGATAAATCAAATTCAACTTAGTTTATCAGTTAATTGAAAGTAATTTAGTTTGGAAATATTTTTGATTAGGGTGGCCGTCTATTGTATTACCTGCCCCCCAGGTTTTTCATTTTAAATCTCATAAATTGACTACTATGAAAAATTTTCAAATGAAAATTTTTAAGTACTAAGTAATTTTATGAGTGTATGCAAATTTTTCTACAAGTCCATTTACAAAAACATGGTATATAAAAACGTTTTTTTTTTTTGATTATTTTACCCTTTTCTAGGCTTTATTTACCATGGACAATTATGCCTTAAGTCTTTGGAAAATCGATCTAGGTTTTTTCGGCCTACCACAAAACCGACCCTATGAAGAAAAATAGAATTCTGCACAGATCTACATACATACATACATGAAATGTGAGCCAATCTTTTCCCCGACAAGATATATTTATGTAGATGCCTATAAGGCAGCTAAAACGTTGGAGAAGAGAAGGTATTCACCCCGTTTCCAGTTTTCGAAAAATAAAGCTCTCCTACAAGAAAAGCTGAAGAAAAAAAGGAATGTTTTCAAGTGTTACAGCATTTTCTGCGTCTGTCTGCGTATGTATGTATGTACATAAGTATATGTATGTAAGCTTGTATTCCTTTGTTTCGTCACTGTTCTAATCTATTGCACCGCAATTAAGTAATCAAGTATTTTTTGTTTGTTTTCTATTTTTACAAATTCTCAGAACTAATTAGCATAAATAAATTTATTAACCGAAATAACTCGTTTTCTGCTCTTCGTTTGCAAATGTAATTAGTAGAATAATCAGTATGAAAATATATATTAATATGACGGCAGAAAGCAGCGTTAGTTCTTTAAAAGCTAGCTCTCTTTTCTATATCCCCATGCAACTCTACTACATACCTTCAAACGTGTATATTGTACATGCATAAGTATAAACAGTGCATTTCGCTGCAATATATTTGCACAAAATCATTGGCACAAAAGATTCTTAATTACTTTTCGCTACCTGTTTTTTTTTTCATTTCCAGCCAATCTAAGTTATAATTCGAGTTATTAGCCTTTTAACAAACCTGTCTGCCGACGTATATAGCGGATGATAGAAGTTCTAATCGCATATACACATATGCCTATGCATTAAAGTATGCAAATACGAAGGGCAATTCTAATAAAAATCAATTTATTTAGAGGTTTTAAATTTTGGTTTACATACTATTATTGGGAAATTGTATTTCATAAATATTTGTATTCGCATATTATAAGCGAGTTCAGTGACCTATTTCGATCTTAAATAAAAACACAGCTTACTCTCCTTCTCTGCGGACACAACCGCAATCATCAATCATCCTAGTACAGTAGGGTGATGCTTCAGAGCTATCAGAAGGCCGCACTTAGAACTGGCTGGGGATACCTCCTGATGTCGCCTGAGCACGCACCACTTAGATAGCGAGGTTCAAATGCTTCCAGTCAAGGAGCGATAAATCATATTTAGTAAGCAGTTGAAGACGAAACACCTCCAAATCATGTCAGGAGTCATCTCATTGACCTCGAGGTCAATATTGGTGGTAAGATAATTTATTTTGAAACGAATTTCCGTCATCTCTTGTCAAGTTTGGTTTTCGTTCGAAAAATTACACTGAAGTAGACACAAGGCCAAATTGGAATGTCTCCAAACCAAACTTGATACGAAGTGCTTAACGCATACTGGCTACTCCTTCTCCTTATCCTTACATCTTCTACAGAAATCGATATGAGGGGCTCTGAACCTGGCGATCAGGTGGCCAATGGAACAGTGCCATATCAGTACTGCCGTGGGAAGTCTCTAATTCGGTTTGAAAAGCCTCAGAAGCCCCTGTATAGGTCGCGGTATGCTGCTAATGGTTTTTTAAGGATCTTCGTCCTCAATAATATCGATGGTTGAGTGGAAGATCGACCTATCTCGGCTGCCAGTTCGAAAACGCTCTATCTCAAAAAACTTTTCAAGAACGCCGTATTTCAGAATTTTATTGAAAAACACCCTATCTCAAAATTCGGTTCAAAAACGCCCTATCTCACTTCAAAATGTATTGAAAATATGCTGATATAGGGCGATTTTGAATCGGCAGCTGAGATAGGGCGTTTTTGAAACGAATTCTGAAATAGGGCATTCTTGAAAAGTTTTTTGAGATAGAATGTTTTCGAACCTGCTGCCGAGATAGGTCGATGTTCCACTCAGCCGTCGACATCGAGTTAGTTAATCTTTAAGTTTAGCTAAGCTAAGTTAATCTTTAGTTAGCTTGATTACCTAAAAATAATGCAAGTTTGGAAGGTTCATAATGCTTACTAGCTTCACCACCATGCCAATTTCTGAGGTTTCAGTCACTACAGTCGCTCCACTAAATGTGGATTGCTGAGCAAAACGTTGGATCATAATCTGATGACCATGCTGCAGCCAGCTGTGAACAGTGTTGGATTCCAAATTTCAACAACTAAACTTAGTTTATTCTACTTTTAATTTCCTTACATATGTAATTATGTATATTATCTTTTGCTCTTTGTTTTCTCAATCAATTCAATCATCTTTGGAATTCACCAAGAACTTTTTTTAAAAGACAGGCTAAAATGTATTGAGCTATAAAAGGCGCATCATCTCAGCGCAGATTCGACATTAGTAAATTGGCTACTGTATCGCAGACATTTGCTAGAGCAGCAACAAACAAACTATAAATTTCTACAAAACGAACTACCGGTTATTGTGTTGTGTGACCTGAACTTGTGCTGCGGTGAAGGCAAGTGTTAAAATTAAATCTTAATACTCAGGCAAGAGTGTACGTGTAAAAAGCAAACAAAAAAAAAACACAATAACAATCACAATAAAACTTAAAACATGTTGCAAACATACATATTAAGTAGTTAGCGTAATTACAAAAGAGAGAAACAAAATCGACAGCAAAAAAAAACGAAATAGAAATTAAAAAGGTTATCAACTGAAATAGTGATTTAACAAAATTGATTTGTTCTATCCGCTTACAAGGCGTACAAATTGTGTTGATTTAGACTGCTGCAAATAATTTGCAAATTTAAACGAAAGCTTGTCAAAATTATTAATCCAAACGAAACTATTTATTTTAAAAATAAAGATTAAAAAGAAATTTTTTAAGAAAAGATTCTTGCTGTATATTAATTTTCAGATAATCATTTCCACGTGTTATCTCTTAATCTTTATACACTAATGTTGAATTATCACTAGGCAAAGATTACAAAAAAAAAAGTTCAAATAATGTCATTTAGAAAACTGAATGCCTTCAAAAATTTTGGTCATTTTAATGCCCAGTGAAAAAAGTCGACATAAGGGTCTCGACAGAAGTAAGTCGTCGTTTTTAAAAATGAAAATTTCTTCTTGATTAAACAAATGAATTTGTTTCATTTGAGTTTTTGTATTTTAAATGCGGTAGAGAACTTGAACGCATCACGCGCTTCGCCGGTTATAAAGTGTTTTCCAATAACGACTTGACAACTTATTTAAGCCCGATATAATGATTGTTTTAAGAATGCGTACAAAATAAGATATTTAAGTTGTCAAATTCATATATTGAAAACACGGGGGAGAACCTTCATAAAACTCGCAAGCAGCTTTAATACATATTTTATTTTCGTTTTCGGAACTGTTTTTTTTTTCTTTCGAACCATAAGTAGCTCTTCAAGCTTAGTAAAAACATGACATTCAAAATTCCTAAGCTTCCTAAACTAAATTTCTAATACAAATAAATAATCCTAAATTCCTATACTACAATGAAATTAATATTCTAATAATGCATTTAAAATACATATTACTTGAGAAACTGATTTTACTTACCACGAACAGTGATATATTCCAGTTGGAAGGCACACAAATTAATATGATGTTTTTTGGCCCCTTTTCTTCTTATTTCATTTAGTTAAGAATAGAAGCAATGCCGACTGAAAGAAAGAAACAAAAAAATTATTTAAAATAATGTCGTAAATAGCTTCAATCAAAATTCGGTTAAAATCCAATTTAATGGCCTTATTCATAAAAAATAAAGTAGGTTTAAAAAGCTCTATAAATTGACGTTTTCACATATTTTTCAATTTATAAACCTTTTATAAAGCTACTTTATTTTTTATGAATAAGGCTATAAAACTGTAAATGGATTAAACCATTTTAATCAAAAACCAATGGAATTATAAATAAATGTGTGCCAAGCTTGGTTTTATTTGTAGATTTTTTTATATAGCAAGTGCTAATTTACATAATTAATTGGATACGCAAAACAAAATAAACAACGTTTCAGATTTCTCAAAAAAAAAAAACTGGTTTTTAAAAAAATACAAATTGTTTTGTTTCATTTTTTATTTGTATATATTTGCTTATCATTTTACTTTTCATTTTCTATAGTCAAAATGCGTTTCGCATCTGTGTTGCTGTTGCCGTTTCTATTCGCTTTGAGTGCGGCACAATTTGGCTTCGGTGGATTCGGCAATAGCTTCAATAGAGTATCCAATACCTTTCAAGAGGGCGCTCGCAGGGTGGCCAGTTCGTTCCCAGATTTATCGAATGTTCGGGATTTCGGGGATTTTATAGTAAGTATGAAATAAAATTTATTTTATTAATTAATAGTATCAACAAAAAAGCTTAAAAAAATAGCACAATTAATTTAAATTAAATTTAAAAAAAAATTTAAAAAAAATATAATAATAAATGAACTGAAAAATAAAATAAAAATTTAAATATTAAAAAAGAAATATTTGGTTTTTTAAGCTACCCAAGAACGGCAGTTAGTTTTTTATGATGTTTTTTTCAGTTCAGAAATTCCTTCTGAGGTTCGCCATTACCTGCCGAGTAGCGAACGCTACTAGAAATTTTCAAAAGCATTAAAAGTTAAATTTAAACAAGAATAACTGCTATTGCCCTTAGATTTCTTACATTCTCTTCATTCCCGTTTTGTAGGCAAAAACCGGCAAGACCTACGCCAGCGCTGCTGAACGCCAACTGCATGAGGCTACTTTCGGCGCTCGCCAACAGCTTGTCAATGCGCATAATGCCGCTTTGAGCGCCTCAAAAGGCTTCGAGCTGGGTCTGAATCAGTTTGCCGATCTGCCTTTTGCAGAGTTTTTAAATAAATTAACAGGAAATAAGAAGTCAGCTAGTGGAGAGTGAGTACGAAATTAAATATACATATCTATTAAAATTCCTCTGCCTTCTTATTTACCCAATTTCAGAGCAAAAGCCAGTAAACAACGCCAGGTAGCTGCTCCACCCACCACCAATGTGCCCGATTCTTTCGATTGGCGTGATAAAGGCGGCGTCACACCGGTGAAATATCAAGGGGATTGCGGTTCGTGCTGGACTTTTGCCAGTACTGGCGCTATTGAAGGACACACTTTTCGCGCCACTGGCAAACTGCCTATGCTCTCCGAACAAAATCTTGTCGATTGTGGACCTATAGACTATGGTCTAAACGGTTGTGATGGCGGCTTTCAGGAGTATGCTTTCGCTTATATTAAAGAAGTACAAAAGGGTGTGGCGCCCAGTGAAAAATACCCATATTTGGATAAGAAAGATACCTGCAAGTATGACCCAAGCACTAAAGCAGCACAGGTGAAGGGTTTCGCTGCTGTCAAACCGAAAGATGAGAAAACGATGAAGGAGGTTGTAGCCACTTTGGGACCGCTGGCATGCTCTGTGAACGCATTGGAAACGCTATTGCTCTATAAAAAGGGTATCTATGCGGACGAGGAGTGCAATAAGGGCGAAGTGAATCATGCTGTGCTAGTTGTGGGTTATGGCAGCGAGGGCGGCAAAGACTATTGGATTGTTAAGAACTCTTGGGACAAAAATTGGGGAGAAGAGGGTTACTTCAGATTGCCACGTGGCAGCAACTTCTGTGGTATTGCCGAGGAATGCAGTTACCCCATAGTTTAAGTGCGTAATGGAAATAAATGGTGTAATGCCTGTGATTACAGTAAATAAATAAGTAATTAATATGGTGAAGAATTTTTTAGTTTTTCGAATACCAAAAAGTCGAAATGCACTAATAAGCAAAATATCTTTTAATCTTAAAGCTTTAAAAAGTCAAAATTTTCCTTAATAGAGAAAAAGTGCGTAATGTTTAGTGCATATAAATTTATAAATGTTTATTTTTAAGACTTATTATACTTAACAAGAAAATTCGCCTTTTTTTAGTTCTTAACTTAGGCTAAAGCAAAATCATCGCGTTGATCATTGTATTCCATGACATGCTGTTTGATCTTCGAACTGTCCACCCAGGTAACGAAATCTTCCAAATTGCGTGTAACCAAAAATGCGGGATCGGTAATCATATCGGGGCCCACACGTACATGGCCTTGTTCAATCAAATCTGTGGCGTTTTTCAGATTTTGGGAGAGTTTGTCTTAAAAAAAAAAAACAAGATAGCAAATAAATATGTGATGTGCAATTTAATATTAAAACGATTAATGAATGTGACAGTACATACGTAGCGTTAACAACTAATGGTATATGCTGATTTGTTATTGCTTTGATTCTTGATGAGTTTTAGTTTTAACTTATTTTCACTAATATAATATATTACTACAACATGTGAATCGTTCCCACGACAGTCGGGTCTACGTAACCGGAACGACCCAGATTTATATCTGGCCAAGGACTGTCACTCCAGCAACACTGCCCAAAAAGTCTTTGGGGAATTTGTATGCTGCTACAACAACAACAACAACAACAACAACATGTGAATGTGATATGTATAAAATGTACGGAAAAAGTGGGATGGTATTACTATCGCGTGAGGGTTATTCCCTAATTTCTGTATAGTAATCCCCTTTTCGTCACAGTTTTGATCTAACTTTAGTACGCTTTTGGGAGACGATTCGGCTACGTGTACAATGGTTTTGGGTTATTGTGTCCAGGCGCGTGACCCGAATCAAAAACTTTGAACATATACATGTAGTCAAAGGATTCAACTTTAATTTAGAACAAACATTTCGAAGCACTAATTTATTGTTAAATTCTGCTTGAAATATGCAATTTTTGTAAATTTCAAGATGATTTGTGCGCAAAATTACTGTGGCCGACGTATACGGAGTTTTACTGACGAAGATTATTGTTTCAAACTCGGCCGAAAGCCGCCAACGTTGAGAGGTGTTCTGCGCAAAAATACTGTTGGTGGTATATACCGAATCTACATTTTCTCTACAAATTCATTGTACAAATAACCGAACAATTTCCACCGTTTTGTATATCTTAAGAATTCTAACTACTTACACTTCACCATCACCACTGGCAGACGCCGTCTACAAAAGCTACTTGCTGACACATTGCCAGCAGCTTCCAAATCATTTTTGCTTCTTATTAAGCCCATAGTATAGAGCTTCTCCAACAGCATAACCGCGGCTTCTTGCTTGAAAGGATCTGTGTTTTCGAGATTAGCAATTTTTTCACATAAGGTGCGCACTTCACGCGATAGCTTGTTATATCTAATTTATAAGGAAAATGTTACATATACATACATATAATAAGGTAAGGAATTGTAATATTTAATAAAGCCTTGTTGCCAATACTCACTTTGTATAATCACTAGGCTTGCGTAGGTGATAGCGTCGTATAATGCTTGTTTCCTTGCCACCATTATCCACCTTCCAAGTGATGAAGTCAACCTTTTTGAGCAACTTTTGCTCGTGATATTTAAGTTTTCGTACCATTTTATTGCTAAATAAAGTGTGAAAATTTGTGTTGTTTACCGAAAAAAGCGTGCTACAAATGGCGCCAGCTGATTTTATTTGATAGTGATGTGTGTTGATTTACTCGATTAAATAAACCACAGGGTGCTACAAATCCGCAAGGTAGGGATTTCTGCAACAGTGTGTATATACATATGGATATAAACATGTTGCTACAACTTGCATATGCAAAATTTTGTATATTTGGCTGGAGGGTTGGATCAGACTTGTATTTTTCGGCTCCAACAATGTAAATTACAAAAATGTACATTTCGGCCCCTTCCTCTACCCGTGCGCGGGCAGCTTATTTCACAAGACAAGATCTTAATACTGGGCTCCTAAAATGTGTAGCGCCATCAACGCGATATCAAAGTTTATTCCAAACAGAAAAGATTTTTTAACGAATAATTTGGTTTTCCAGCTGGAGAGGCAACATGCTCTTTTACTGCTGAACTCGCAACCATCCTATTCAATCCATCTCGTTTGTCTTCAGAAATATTGTAAAAATAAACTCCAAACTTTATATTTTTACTTCAATTTGTTATTTATTATTGGAAATAAAAATATACACGCATGCATTTTTCACCTCCAATCAACCTTGTTAATATTTTTTTCACATTAAGTGGTTATTTGTTTTAGATTTATTTTTGTTCGTTTTATATAACTTAAAATAATATATTTATATATATATATATATATGACAGTATAAAAAGTTAAAAAAATAAAATCAACATAAAATTTGGAGCGTTGCTTTAACGAAAAAACTAAAGTTAAAATAAGTTTAGTGTACTAAAATGTCACTGCGTCTTGGAAATATTTTTTTCTTTTTCATTTATTCTATTTTAGTATCCGTCAAGTGCTACGCGTATTATCGATTGCACTGCTACACAACTATATGCACCACAAAATATCATTTGCGGCGATTTGCAATTTGAGTTTTTAATAAATTAGTGTGGTTGTTGTGAGCTTTTAACTTGCGTTGTTTTAATATGTAACTTCATATATGTATTGAGCCAAAACCCAATTGAATTTCGCTTTGCGCCAGAAATAAATACATACATACTTTACATATTTAGCTGTCTTCTGCAATTTTTTAAAACATTTTTGGGCATTTTTATAAATTGTTTTCTACGAAACCTTGTAAATAGAGTTAAAACGAAATGGAACAGCAAAATTTTATGAACTATTAAGCTTCAATTATAATTTTTTTTTTGCTCGAACTACTACTAAGATTGAAGTTTTAATACATTGATTGGAAGCTTTCGAAAATTATGTTTCGAGTAAATAACAAAAATACAAGATTAAAATTTGTTTAATAGGTCTAAAAAGGTGTTCGAAATGTTGCATGAAAAGACAAATAATTGATTTACAAACTCTATAAATAAAGCATTAAACCACCAGACAAAGAAACTTAGTTGCGCTCTAAATTGCAAAAAAAAACTTTGGAATTTTCAAAAATCGCAACGGAAGCAATAAAAGCAATGCTATGCGTCTAAAGTTATATAATGACCGCAGCTGGGTTTTCGAAAATATTTCTCTTTGGGGTGACGCACGTTAGGAGTTTTCAACAAATTACAACAAATTGTACTCCAGATTTATAAAGGTCTCAGAACCTTTTTAGCACATAATTTCAAAAATGACAAATTTTGAATCGAGTCACTTTTGAAAGCCATGTGCAATATTTTAAAGTTGGGTACTGGCCACTGATGTGCAAAATGTCACATAACCTCAAAAATGAACAGCATAATCTATTTTATTGGCTTTGCTAATGAACTCCAACTCAAATGCTTTTTAAACTTAGATATATAAGAATTTTTGTTTTTTTTTTAGGAAAAATTTATACTTGATACTGTACTTTTGGACTTTGTCTTGCGAATTCATAACTTTTTAAATAATTTCGTCTTCTCTGCCATTTGGTTGTTGACGCACGCGCGCATGAACATCATCATCATTATCACCAACATTATCATATACATATGTATGTATGTATGTACGTATCTTGCATTTATTTATTTTTTATTTATTCATTATGCTCTTCAAGTCATACCTTCACTTTGCATATATTTTTTTTTTTTAGATTTAGTTTATGTATACCTTTATGTATACCCATTAAATATTTCTACAAAATTATTTCTATGAAATATTCATTCTATAAAAAAAAAAATTAAAATAAAATAGTATTAATTATTAAAAAAAGGGTTCACTTAAATAAGTTTACAGTGAATACTATTAGTTTTCGCACTTGCTTTGTTTTTAGCTTGTTGTTGCATAAAAAGAAAATAGAATGTAAAATGTGGTATTTAGTATACAAGTATGTATATGTATGCTAAAGAGCAAAAGAAGTATATAACTTTGACAAGAGAAGTGTTACACAATACACGATGACTACGTACTTGCGAACATATGATTATTTTTAAATAATTTTTGATTTATAAGTATGCTTACAAAAGATAATGTTTTATAAGTATGTATGTGTATATATGCAAGTATATATGGATATATGCTTATATACATAAATGTGTATGTATATATGAATATCCTTATTTATCCCTGTGGGTATGTGTATGTATATCTTTTAGCGTTGCTCCAGCTTTAGCTTTAGCTTTCTCAACTACACATTGGCTTTTGCTTATACAGCTTTCACACTTTCCCTCTCTCGTTTTGCGTAACTTTACTGCGCTGCAAGTGTTTTCAACTTAACAGTTAGTAAATGTTAGTTAGAAGTATATATATTTTTTTTTGCTTTCTTTTAAGCTCCTAGTTTCTCTTTGTTGCTCGTTTTTAGCCTTGCATATGCGCAACACACCACCAAACTTTTTCATCAATTATATAAGTATTTTTATATATAAGTATGTATTATATGCATTTATAACTTTCAAACCAACAATTTACATCTACATTAATCAGTGCGGTCACAACGCTGGCGCTGGCCATGCCTACGATGACTACGACGATGAAGTTTTGCATGCTTTGCTTGCTTGACTGCTGATGCTTGCAACACTTTGCAATTCCTTTGCTCTGAATTCCAATGCATGCGCACATTTTGCCATGAGTGGGGTGGCGAGACGACGTCGTTGCCTTTGGCATATATACACACTCACTTTAGATAACAAGCGCCATATCTTTTTTACTAGGTAACTGCACTTTTTTGCCCTGCCACAGCGAATTGTGAATCGTAAATGCATCGATGGTGACCGTTAGATGTTTTGTATGGACTTGTGAGAAGCATTTGCCGCCTGAGTTATACCTGTGCGCAGGTGTAAAAGTTGAGAACAAAAAAAAAATTATTAATTTAGCATGAAATGCAAATATAAAATAAACACACAAACACTCACTTAAAGAATTTATCAAACATGACTTCATCCACTTGACTAGGTCCTGTACCGTACAATTTGGCTACTTGATCCGTTTCGGGTGCGTAACTGTACAATGCACGGAATTGGCAGCCGGCATCGCGGAAGAGCACAAGAAAATGTTTCGCTTCGGATCGTGCAATCTTTTCCAGTACTTTCTGTTTGGCCTCACGATTCACCGCACCCGGGAATACACAATATTCCACGGCATTCAATATGATGCCACGATTGGATTTGGCGGCTGGTTGCTTGTAGAGTTTCGGACCTGTTCCATGCGATTATTAGGTGGAGAACGGAAACAAAGATGTAGTTGTAATATAGTCAACAAAAATTAAGAATTAAACTAAATGAATTTTAGATTTCTAAAAGTACAAACAATTTACGAATAAGTTAAACGTATATTTATGTGTATGTATGTATGTGGGTAGAATAGTTGTTTTAGCATAAAAGGGCACTAGATTTACGTTAACGTTTATTAACAAAAAAAAAATTAAGTAAATAAGTAATCTCGAAACGGCATTAACTACATTATTTTTTTATATTTTAATACATTTCTATAAGTTAAGAAATAAGGGCACACTTGTTTCAACGCTACGTACATAATAGTAAATAAAAGTAATTAATTATAAAGTTGATCTTTAAAATATATGCATGTCCTTAAGTTAATCGAAATAGTTATTTATTTATTGAATTTCCAAATGTAATTTTTTAAATAAGACAAAGTTGTCACATCAGTGTTTTAGTGGAAATTCGTCATAACAAAACTGCAACTAGTTTTACTTTATAAAAAGATAAAACAATGTAAACAATGCCGAAAGTTTTTCATAACCTTGGAGTCTACTCTGTATTGCGATTCGAAAAGCAAATCATTCTATGAGTTTGCATTAGTCCGTGTCGCCTTTCGAATCGCAATACAGAGTAGACCCCTTTGTATTCTAAAAAAAAAACATGTATACAAAATTATTTGGGTGATTCACACAGTTAATCGTTAAATTGTATAACGTTTAAAAGTATGTTTAGCTGTATCACTACTACAAAACATTTTAACCGTCTGAAAATTTACACTTTTACAATACGTCTGTTACGATACCGTGTGAATTTCCTCATCGTTGCAAAATTTAAGTGGGAATTCGGATAATAAAATTTCAACTATAATAAGGTAAAATCGTGTACATATGGCAGAGTTCTCCAAAACTTTGCATTCTATAAAAAATGTTATACAAACTTATTTGGGCGATTCACACAGTAATCCGTTTAATTTTTCAACCAGTAAAAGTATTTTTTAGCCGTTTCATAAAAAACACAAAACATTTTTAACTGTTTGAAAATTTACAAATTTTGCCAGAATCCATCTGTTACGACTATTTGTGAGCACCCTTAATGTCACAAAATTTAATGTATTTTAAATTTACGGCACTACTATGTATATGAAAATTGTTGAACGATAAAGCTTTACAAGTTGGATTTATAATACTAAGAAATTAAAATGTTTTTAATTAAAAAATTGTCATTAATTTATAATTGAGTTATTCAAACGGTGGCGTGAAGATCTAATTTTTGACAGACACAATTTTCTGTTTTATGGAAGTTCTCGAAACTTGTATGGTTTAAAATGTTTTTTTATTATTAAAAAACATTATTAAAAAACAAATAAATTTTTTTTCGATTTTTTGTGTTAAAATCTCCAAGCTTTCTTAACGAAGTTCTAAAAGTTTAACAATTTATATATATATACATATTTTAATTAAAAGCTCTACGTATACAAATGTCAAAATTTCATATTTTGATTGAGTGAGTGAAAATGTAAGTGTTGGAATTTTCTTTACATCTTCTTCTTTGAGAGAAGAATAGCTGAAATCTGACACTTGTATACCAAAGCAAAAAAAAAAATAAAAATTCACGTAACTTTTTGTTTTTGTACTGCTCCTAAATTTTTAGAACTTTTGAAGTTTATTTATAAAAAAAATTTAAATCGCCTTGAAAAATTATTTCATTATAGTCAAAGAAATCTTTTAAATATAAAAAAAAACGTTTGCTGTTTAATACGTAATGAACTGAAGCTTGTACAAAGCTCTATTTTTGCATTAAAATTACTGTGAGCTTTTCCAAATTAAGTAGCTTAAAGGACGACAATTAATTAAATTATTGTGGCTGCTGTAAAAACTATTGAAGTATTTTGGGACAAATTTCCATTATCGCTGTCAAGAAAGCTAATTTCGTAAAATTGATGTCAAATTATTTCACAAAATTTTATTTCTGGTTTATTTTGGATGATACAAGGAAAATGTAGCAGAGTATTCATTTTTCACTAATTGGCGCTCGAATCACGTCATGTATTAAGGCTGCTTTTTTCAAATCAGTATGTGTTTTTATTGCTAAAAATAAACGAACTGAGCTGACTGATGGGGAGTGTCTTTAAAGCGATTTCAAGAGCTTGTTTCCATTTTACGAGCCTACAGTATAGTACGTCCCAGTTAACTGACTACCTGCCTTCATTGTGTATATGTTAAAATTAATAAAAAAAATAATACTGATATTTTGGCGTTTACGCTTTTGCTCAGTCAAAATTTAAGTAAATTTTAAGTAACTTCCGATTTAAATGTTTAACAAAATGCTTTCCAGAAGGCCTTTATGAGTGCGCTTAGAGCCCATATCTATCAAAATTTATGTAAAGGTTCATGTTAAAGTAAAAACTCTATAACGAAATGTCAATAACCACGCCCTTATTTAATGTAGAATTAAATTTAATGTGATGATATTCTTGCTTAAAGTAGTTGTTCATGTATTTATGTGTATTTATATATTTTAAAATTTGCATGGAAAAATGAGCTGCACAAAAATCGCAGGCAAAAGGCTTAATATTCACGCTAGATTTTTTGTGTTGTAAAATACAGTGGCACTGAGAATTTCTCGCAACGCATGCAAAGTCTTTTATTATAATTGCTTTTTGCCAATTTTTTATTAAAATTATACTAAAACAATACACACAAAAATAAAATCTCTAAACTGTGTGCAAAACTCAGGAAAATTCAATAAATTTACGTACTCATTTGCATATGCTAAGTATGCAGTTGCTTAGCCCATTAAATTTTAGTATAACAAGTTGCTGAAGTTCCTAGAAAATCGCGTTTATTTTTGGCAATATATAATAATATATATATAATGGGCTAAACAACTGCATACTTGGAATTTTTCTAAAAAATCGGATTTGAAATTTGCAAATTAGTAAGAACATTTATTGCATTTTCCTGAGTTTTGCACACAGATTAGGGATTTTATTTTTGTGTGTTTTGTTGCAGTTAGAACTAGGTTTTAATAAAAAATTGGCGAAAAGCAATTATAATAAAAAACTTTGCATACATTGCTAAAAATTCTCTGTGCCAATACTTTTGTCCGGCACTGTATATACCAACGCTTTCGTTTTGAATAAAAATAAGGCTAATATAATTTTCATAGAAATATTAAAAATTGTGACTAATTGTGATTAAAAATTGTGATATTAAAAATTGAAAATTTTATTTGAAAAAATTACTAATTATGATTAAAAATTAAATTAAATTCATGACTGCTGTAAAGTAATTATGTAAGTGCCCATAGACAAAAAATACAGATTTTCATTTTATTAATAGTTTTTAACACATTATTGATTTGTAGTCGTTTAGCTATAGGTTACTATTATAATAGGGAAATTTTTAGTTTTCCTCTTTTACGTAGAAGGACCCCTAGATAATTTTATTTATTTTGAATATTCCTAATTTGTTCTCGTGATCGCTATAATTCTTGATACTATTATCAGCATATTTATCGATTTATGTATCGATATTGTTATCGATGTTTTTATAGATTATAGATTTACAAATTTAACGATATATAAATGGAATTTCTCATTAAAATGTACAAATTCAGTAATAGTTTAATGGTTTTATTTTTTGATATTATTTATATGTATGTTTATCGATACATTTAATTTATATTGTTTTTGATGTTTTTATAGAGACCGATATCGTCATCGACATATTTTTCTATATACACATTAATGAGGCCAAAGAGGTTTTATTTGTTTATTTAATATTCATTAATTTTTTAAGAAAAATGTAGTATATTCTCAAACAAAAACTAGGTAAATCTGGTTTTAAAACTCTATAGAAAAATTATAATAATTCAATACATTTTCGTTATAACTTAAAATTTTTTTTTTGGTATACGATTTATAGCGCACATACTTTGTATGAAAGAAAATGCGCAACACCTTCAACAAAAAAAAGATATAAAAACTCAATGCGATTTTTTTAGAAAAATAAATAAAAAGTTAGCACAATATGCATTTTTTAAAGTTGTAGAAAAAATTCGAACAATTAGAAAAAATTAAGTTTTTTTTAGATTTTTCCATTTACAAATTTTTTCTAACAAAAACTTCAAATTTGAGAAGAATTTTGCTAATTTCTACATTTCTATATTTTATTTTTAAGTACTATTTTATTTATTTTTTTATTTTAAAAAAATTATGGAATATCGAAAATGTAACGCATGCAAAACATCGATTGCATGTTCCACCTCAATTTTTGTAACCGGAAGCAGATTCGGCGATTGCGTTTTAGAAAGTTTTGAATTTTAAAGAAATTAAAAAAACGCTAATCTTGTTTTATCGTGGAATTTTGAAATTTTGAAAAATGTAACCAATCGAAAATAAAGTGCAGCTAAATATGAGCTTTCACAAAAAAAATGGTTTATGTTGTGTAGTAAATATTGGATGTAATTCGATGAAAATTGCATTTTGTACAACCATAAATGTATGTATGTATAAATGTTTGTTTGAGTGGGTGTGCGTGTGAGGTCGTGCAATTGTGTGCTCAAAAACAAAACACAAAACAAAATGTATAGCAAATATAATTAAATTGTTTTTATTAGGCGCAGCAGCAACAGCAGCAGCAGCAGAAAAAAATACAAACCCGAATATTCCATTGAGCCAAGATTGGTTGAGAGTAAGCCCGATCCATCATCGAAACCGCGTCGTTTCGTTATCAAACCTGGTGGCAGTGAGCCTGGTCCAGATGGCGATGGCATATGCCTGCCTGAAGCCATGCCAGGTGATGGCGCACGACGTGGCGGAGTGGCACGACCCAATCCCGAATCTGTATCTAGGCCAAAGGTGCGTTTCAAGCAGAAACAACAACAACAACAACGAACGAACGACACGCAACGTAACGTAGTTAGGCAGGCACGACAGGCGAGCGAGCAGTCATAAAGGCCGGGCGATTATACAACAGGCATTCACATTTAGTACAGATGAGTAACATATTTTCGTATTGTTTTTTATGTTCGGAATTGAGGTTTGTGTTAAATTTTCCGATTTTTTGATTTGGTAAATTTCAATTCAATTCAATGACAGCGAGGAGCGAGCACGTTTAGTTTGACGGGAATAATTATTTGTATGATGTTAGTTTGAAAAAAGAGATAAAAAACAACAACGCATGTGCATAATTTAACATTTGCCAAATATTATGAAATATGTGTGTGTTTTTTAAATTACACTTAATTTAATTTTTTAGGTTTCAAGTTTAAAATTTTCTCTCAGCTTTTTTTAGTAGATTAAAAATTTTTACTTTTAGCTTGACTGCTATTATTTTCTAGGTTTAACTGTTATTTGTATGGATGTATATATGTAGATAAGGTTTTGAGCAATGAGTAAAACCGCAATCATTTCCGAAAAGGTTAAAAAATAATTTTTGAGTAGTAGATATATAAGTATGTAAGTATATGTAGCAAACAAAATTAGACTTATGTATGTACGTTTGTAGCTGTATAATTATGTACAAAAGAATGAGGACATGTAGTATTTGTAGATACATATGCACATACTTAAATGACATGATAAGTTAATTGAGTTATGAGTAGTTAGATTAATATAATTTTTTAAATACACATGTACATTAGCGTGGACCGAAAATCCGCTTTTTTAGAATTTTGATTGGTAATAGCAAAAATATGGTTCATTATGCTCTAAAAAATATCTGTGTGAAATATGACAATTTTTGGTCAATATCTTAGGCTCGCCCGAGCCCATCAAAGTTCAATATGGCCAAAAAATAAAAATTAATAAATAAATTAAGTAATACATTTTTTTACTAAAATTGCGATAATATTCTAAAGTATTAGTCCTACATAATTAGGTATATGGACCTTTTTTGTAGAAAATCGAAGTTAGCTAAGAAATTTTTGTTTTTAGTACCTGAACTTTGATGGACTTGGGCGAGCCTAGGATATTGACCAAAAACTTTCACATTTCACACAGATATTTTTGAGAGCATAATGAACCATATTTTTGCTATTACCAATCAAAATTCTAAAAAAGCGGATTTTCGGCCCACGCTTATGCATGTACATAGATATGTATGCACATGAGTATTAAGGTGGTCCTTAAAAATATTCAGATTTTGAGATATCCATTTATTTTATTCTACGTGCAAAATAAAGACAGCCACGAAAATTTCAAAATTTAAAAAATATATAGCGGTTGCTAACAGGGTTTGAAAATTTTTAAATCAAAATCCAATATTTCGACAAAATTTTGACCTTGACCAGCTATAACTCAGCGAGTTTATGAATTTATATGAATAAGCTTCAATAATGTGTCAAATTTAACAGATTTAAGGTAATTATTTTGTAGAATTTTTTCGATTTCAAAAAATTTAAATTTTTTGAATCTAAAAATTTAATTTTAAAATTTTGAAATTTTCTTGAATGGCTTTATTTGGTACGTAGAACAAAATAAAGGCGTACTCCATAAAAAATTTAGATTTTGATATTTTGAAAGAACCATTGTAAATTGCGTAAAAAACGAAGTTTCATTACTCTTAATGGAACTTTTTGCACACCGCATTATATTTCAAGCCCTCAGGTTTACATCCAAAGCCTTGACTAGAATGAGATTTTACTAGAGATTGTAAATAAATCAGTTTTATATTTTCAAATCAAAAAGGCATGATGAAAATATTATCGCACCGCTTTTCCGAAGCGAAAAACATAAAAATTATAATTGAAGAACTTAAAAAACCTTTTTCTACCGATTTATTAAAAACGTAATATAATAATAAAAAATTTCAAATAATGGAAAAAATTATACATTGAAAAATTAATTCAAAATTAAACATAGGAGTCCATAGTCCTATAGCATAGTCCTGTAAGTTCATTGTATCTACAGAAACTAGTTATGCGATGTGCTTTGTCATTGTTACTGCGATTTGTGCTAATTTTTAATATTCACACATTTGCTTGACTGATTTGTATAACAAAAAGTTTAAAATGACGTAAAGATGCTTAACATAAGTTAAACTGTTGCCAGTCAGATGTACATATTTTTCACCATATATGAAATAATGACATCTTATTTGTGAAAATTCTGTGTTAGCGAGGGTTAAATAACAAATTTTGTTGGTTTTCCGCATAATGTACTTTCAAAATGCTTATTTACTTTAGTTGTGGCTCTAAAAATAGCTCCTAACAGGAGCGTATTTTGTGTGTACGACCCTTTATCCATAACCCTACTTTTAGTTTAGTTAAAAAGCACAAAATGTAAACTCAAACCGAAATTAATTAACTGTACTTGCATGGATGAAATTTTGTTAGAAATGGGCGTGGTTATTGACACACTTTAGTGATGCGTTTACTTAATTTATTTTTTTATTTTTATTAAACTCTAAACAGAGTTGCTTTTAGGGGCGTTTGGTTAAGTATTATTATTGCTGCGAATTCGTTGTTTACCAAAATGATGAATGCATTTTTAAATAATATTGAATAGCGAAAATTTGGCATTTTATATGTACATGAAAATAATTTATGTTCAAAAGGAAAAGACAAAAAAACGTCGCAGAAAGTTACAATGCCGAAGTTGGCGTAGATTAAGAAAAATTTAATGCAGACATTTTTTTACATACAAGTATTAAAATTTTTTCTTGTAACTTTTTATAAAAATGTAGTTCATACTACAACAAAAAATATATAAAACAGAATTTCTAAACTTTGTGCAAAACTCAAGAAAATTTTCAATAAATTTGCGCACAAATTTGCATTTTACTAAAATTTAATTGGCTACAAAACTACATTTTCAAAATTTTTCAAAAAATTTGATTCGAATGTTGCAACTTTGTACGCAAATTTATTGAAATTTTCTGAGTTTTGCACAAAGTTTAAAAATTTTGTATTTATTGTTTTCTTTTTGCAGTATGTATAAGCTATATTTTTTATAAAGTTTGCAGAAAAAAATAAAAATAAAAAATATGCTGCATACATTGTGAAAAATTCTCTGCCAATACTTTTTACCGGTAGTGTATATTTATGCGGTTAACAACTATCGCGATGAATTATCTCTTAGAATGGTGAAGGCAATAGAATTTTCTTGCAAAACTACATAAAATGTGGAACACGTGTTTTACAACCTTTTTTTAATCCTACGAGAATTGCATCTATTTTGAGAAAAAATGCGCGAATAAATTTCATTCACAAAAAGAGATTTCAACAGACAAAAAATGCCGCTTTAAGGTGAAAAAACTCTAAATTACGAAAACGAAATTATGGCATTAGCCACAACAATAAAAGAATTTAATAAATAAAGTTGACAAGCACTATATGTAGAATGAAACTACTAAAATACTACCTAGGCTTGAAATATGTACTAACTCTTGAAACTTGTATCTTAAGCTATACTAAAAATGTAGTTTATGAATACATAATATGTATAACATATGTATTACAAAAGCGAAGACCACCACAAGTACAAGTTAAAAATGGTTATAAGTACCTATGCAACGAGTGTAAACAATATGAAACCAAAACCAAAACAAAAACCAAAACCAAACCACCAACCACCAGGGTAAGCAATTTTTTGTTGTTGCACATAGTATTTTACAGCTCTACGGCGCTTATTCTTTTTTAGCGTACACATAAGCCATTTTTTGTTTTCATAATTATTTTTTTTGTTTGTTTGTTTGTTTTGTAATTGGTCTTCGGTTCTTACCACACAGATTCATTAGCGAATTGGACTTGCGACCACGGAAATTAAGGCTACTTCCTTTAGCTACAGATATACGTGAGCGACCTCGATCGACGGTTGGTTCTGGAAAAAGGCCCATAATACAGGCGTTTGTTTTGGTTTGATATTTAATAAAAATTTGTATTGTATATGCGTAATGAAGTATTTAGAAAGAAAAAAACAAAACAAAAGGATAGTAATAATATATCCTTAGAATAGTAAGGTTACATACATAAATGTATAAAAGAAAAAAATATGCAGGAGAGTAGGTGAACGAAATGATGAGAAAAAACTGTTGGTGTACTAAAATATTTTCAATTGATAGATAATTTTTTATACCTACACCATTTCGTTAAATAAATAAAAGGTCGTTAAATAAATAAATTGCCGTATAAGAGTTATATAAATTATTAATGCATGTATATACACTTTGCCGCCAGAAAGCTGCTTGTCGCAGCTGTTTTTTCAACATCCTCACCGGGTATAGGTATGTGTACACGCACCGTGTATGCTTATGCATGCGTGTATGTGTATTAAATGGTCTAATATTTTACATTTTTTATATATGCACATGTGCTTAATATGTACATATGTATAAGTCTGTATAAAGCACTAGAAAATCCAAAATATAAACTTTAATTAATACTACCCAACACCAACCTCTTGATGCCTTATATGATCCCCTGCGCCCAATCGGAGTTGAACTTGTGCTTGGGTATTCATCAGGTGATTCTGTTTCGAAATATATAAGTAACATATGCAGATGTGGATTACAAAATACATACACAGATGAAGTAAAATTGCAAGTGATATGAAATACTTAAATATTTATGTAACATTATCATGCAGACGAAAAAAAAAACAATTTAAATGTATATTGGGGCAGTGCGCCTAAAAGTAGATTAAGTTTAAACGAGTGAAATAGATTTACGGCCTATCACGTATTTCGTAATCAAGTTAATTTGATCGTGTGGGCATTTAGGTGCAGGCCTATGCAGATCTATTGTCCCCTCGACTCTTCACAATACTTCCACTAAACCTAAACTCCTAAAAAAAGCAGCAGCGCGTTCGGAGATAAAGAGTGAAAGTACTTAAACTGTGGCCAAATAGACCCTAGACTTCTCTAACGTCTTCAGCGGTCGGCATCACACTCGATGAGAATGTGTAGTGGTATCTCACTTGCCGAGTCGCACAACCGACTATATTCCCAGCTTGGACAGATGTCCTCTTAGTCTGCAGTGTCAGTGTAAGGATACCTTTTGTATTCTTAGTTTCTCCTTTGGGAGTTTAGTTCAGATTTTGGAATCTCTTATTGCTGTACCCTCCCTGTAAATTCTTTGCCTGGCACAGTCCTGAGTGGGATTGAGCTGGCATGTGAAGAGGTAGTTGAATTGGTGTCGTGCAGCGAGTCTCCACATGCCGGATATTGGGGTCGAGTCTGCACAGGTAGATGTTGAGACGGCTGAAATATTCAGACCGTAACTGTGTTAGAGTAACGCGGGTCCCTCTTGGCAGTTGAAGCTGTGTCTCCTACAGGTGATGATTGGGCTGCAATCACGGCATTCATAGGCTAGGAGTCCTGGGCGGAGGCTCCTCCTCGAGCAAGGGTCTGTTCGTGTGCTCGCGTCTGTGACAAGTCTATAGTTTCGTCCGGTGACCAAACAGACGCAGTATAGTTCAGAACCGGGAACGACGGCCCTATCTTCTACATGTTTTCAGAGGATATAACATTTCCTTTTCCTAATCCCTCTCTAGCAAAGCTTAGCAAAGTTCTTTTGGCAACCTGCTCCATGGATATACATATGTATGAAAGAGGTTCAAGTTCGAGAACCAATTCCAGCGCCGTCGTCGCACATGTGCCCAATTTAAGGCCACAAATATAGCATACTTCGGGCCGGCAAAAACGCAGGAAGACCGGAGCGTCTTTGGGTTCGATTCGAATTCGCGGCATTCCAGCTAAAGCAGTTATCACGGTTTCTTCGGATCAGACGCACATTCAATTTACTCTGGACGAAGCGCGTCCTCTTACCAAAACCCGTCAAGAATTTGAGGAATACGAACTGGGACACGTACTGCAGGAAACTACGTCTATCTCACTCTGTTATACTAGGTATGGTGGACGCCGCCGTATAATTTTTCAGCGTATAGAAGAAGCGTACATTCATAAAGCCTTTGCAACAGTGGCCTTCATCGACATCAAAGAAGCACTTGCTAGAACAAATAAGTGCTCATTTACACACGGCGATTTTTGTTGCCGCAACCCGACGTTTGTAGGAGAGAGCGTGACGAGGAAAGGAGAGGGGAACGGAGTTGCTCGTGCTCGGGCAACACGCTTTGTGCTCTCGTTCGTCTCGTGTAAATTGAGATAGCGATTCACAGCTGACAACAACAATTGCATACACAAAAATCGTCGTGTGTAAATGAAATGAGCAACACCAAAAGGGAATGTGAAAAATCGCGTCGACAAGTTTCCGTGTATAAACGCAGTCTAATGAGACATGGGTCTGATCACGGGTCAAGTCAATCTAAAGTTGACTCTTTCTTTGATTACCAAGGTGTTGTACACTCCAGGTTCTGGCCCCTAGGCCAGCTGAACTACATTACCTATGCGTTATGCGCCTTTGGGTGAGCAAATGGCCAGATTTATATAAACATCATGGATTTTCTCGCCAAACTCTCAATAAATGCCATCGCACATCAACCATATTCACCTGATATTGATCCTTCAAAACTGAAATTACCACTTCGGGATACCAAAGACATAAAAGAGAATACGCGGCGCGGACCGAAGAAAAAATAAAAGTTTTGTGTTTGTTACAATAAATTTTGTTGAATAATAAATATTTTGTATTTGAATTGTGACAGAATTTAGATCTCAAACGCTTTGCGCTATTAAAAAAAAATATATATTAAAGTACACAAAACTACCATAAAACCTACTTTTAGGCGCACCTTACTTTTTTTTAATATATAATCAAATCTGTGGCATTTTGATATAACAGCTTAAGGGATAAAAAAATGCGCTTGCCTCAAAAATGTTATATATTCATGAAGCTCCTATTAGTTAAAACATAATATGGGACCTAAATGAAATATTGCTTTAAATAGAAAGTAACCTAAATGGAAATAAGTTGTTTTATCAAAATGCCAATAAACGTGATAGTATTATAAATTCCATTAAAGTCTATAATTTCATCATGTTTATCGGCAGATTGTAAAGTTAGTTTAATACTTATAATAAAAAAAAAATAATCATTAACCACATAAAAAATGCAAACACAAACTTTGTTAAAATCATTATGCTATTAAATGTAAAAAATAACAACTTCAAACGCAAATAAAATCAAAGCTCTCAAGCATTGAAACAAAAATTTAAAAATACGCGCGCGTTTCGGACGAACAATAAAAATCGTAATAAAATTTAAATTTTGCTTTAGTAAAAAAAAAATTAAAATAATGTAAAATAAAACAAAGCTGCTTGTGAGTGCATTAGGTTGAGTTTCTTTAAGTTCATGTAGTTTATACATATGTACATATGTATATATTAAAATTACTTTTTAATGCATGATTTTTGTAATGTATGTATGCCAATGCTGATGAGAAGCCACGTCTCCTGCATGGACGCATATTGTGCAATGCATACAAAATTTGCGAGTGGCTATAGAAAATTCAATCGATTAGCTTTTTTTTTCTTAATTATAATTAAATTTCTTAGCGATAAACAGATAGTTTCTTTTACTTGTTTTTTGGTTTAGCTCATTATTTACCTTTCACAGTTAGAGAATCGTGCGAGCCTCTATATAAATCACGTCTCAGGGTGTTGGAATTGCTCAACGTACCATAGGCTACACAGAGTATGCAGCGCGAACAATGGAAGCCAATGGGCGAAAAATTAATACACAACGAAATATATATGTAAATAAATAAATAAATGTTAAGTTAACAAAATAAGAAATAAACGGCAAATAAAAGCACATTTTGATGTCGTTGCTTGCATGCCTCGCATTCTGCTGATGGATTTCGAAATGAGCGAACAAAAAAAAAAACACTTTGGTAGCACGACACTAAGATATTTTGAAGGATCACAAAAAAAATAATACATAATTGCACAAATATGTATAAAAAATAAACAATAAAAAAAAAATATCAATAAAACTTACGCTTTAATTACAAAAAAAAAAATATATATACATATATGGTTTATACATAACATGTTATATTTAAACCTAAGAGCTGCGAAAAAGTTGATAACTCCTTCAAACACTTAAAAATGCATTCTGGATTGTGTGAGTGCAATTTTTGCCAAGTTTCTGAAGATGCTGAAGAAAGCGTGCTTGAAATGTATACATATTTATGTATTATATATTAGTGCATTTCCCAGGAAATTTGGGTAAATAAAAAGTTTTGCAATGTACCTTATTTACCAACAGAAATTGTCCAAGAAATTAGTTTGATACACAGATTCTATTTTTGAAGCAAAATTTTTTAATTTGAATATTTTAACATCACCGTTTGTTTGTGCACATTAAGTTCGACGTATTAACTAACAAGTTCGAAAAATTCGAAAATTATACTTTTTACTCACTAAGTATTTATTTTTGTGATTTCTAAAAATTCGAAGATTAAAATTAGGACTATTTTGTATATTATGTCGGGGCTAAATGGTCAAATCTTTATTTTCGAAAACTTCGAAGACTAAAATTCAAACCCACTGAACAATTTGAAAACATCGCACTATTTACACTCTGAAACATGGGAGTTTTTTTTAGAATTTTTTAAGTTCGAAAAATTCGAAGTTAGTTATGCACCTCTTACTCCACTCGCAACATTTTAGATTTTAGAATTTTTTCGTACTCGAATACCTGTCATTAAATTCATTTCCACATGGCATTTTTTTAAATGGCTAGAATTTTTTGCCATTTCAATGTCTAGTGGAAATTCGGCATAAGAAACATTATTTTTAAGTTATTTACATGCAAAAAAATCAAAGGTTGATATTCGTTATTGTTTTGTATATTATAGTATCACTATATCCGCTAATTGCAGGAAATTTGACTTAATTTTTGAGGTCCAATTAAATTTTTTGTAATACTATATACAACGATTGTTTTTGGGTTTCGAAGAATTCGAAGAAAAAATCTAATTCTGTTCACCACATTTACGATTCGAACATTGGTACTCGGGCTATTTACCACCATTACTATACTACACATTCGTTGACTCACTGATTTCATTCACACAGTTGAAAAATTCAGAATATTTAAAAGTTGGGTAATTTTGAAAATTAAACTCAGACTCGCATTGTGCTCTAAATTGTGCAAATATATACATATACATATATATATTTTAAATGTAATTTGAGTGTGTATGTGCACGCAAAAAGCAGATTGTAAAAAGAGTACAACATTCAAGAATTACAAACAGCCAGAAGAATGTAAGGCATGTAAGATACAAAAGTTTTGAAATTGTATCGAGCAAAACAGAATACATTTACAAAACGCAACAAGCAAAATTTACAAAAGAAATGCAAGATGCAGCTCGCCAACACAACTTAGCGTAGGCTTGCTATCCATTCAACGCACCTGTCAGATTGGTACTAGAACCTTTTTTACTACGACTAGAAATACTCGATGCCTCGCTCAAATCCACGGAACCATCATCGACGTGTATGGTCTTGGGACGTGGACGCGTAATGCGCGTCTGTCGCAAACGCGGCGTTGTTGTATTGTGTGTTGTCTGCTTCATTGTTAGGTCAGTGCGATCGAGTACTTTGCCCTAAAGTGATGGAAACACGAATTGGGAATGTATGTTAAAGAATATGTGTAGAAAAATTTCGTAGTAATGTGTTGTACCTCTCGCTCGGCCTCCTCGATGGCCTTCTTCAGGCGATGTTGTTCTAAAATTGCTGCTCGTCGCGCCATTTGTTCTTCCTTTTTGCGCGCCTTCTCTTCTTCCTTTTCTCGCTCCAGTTCGCGTTTACGTGCCGCCTCGATTTCTTTGCGCGCCTTTGCTTCTTCTTGCTGCTGGCGGCGCTGCAATGATTGCAGCATAATTTTCTCCTTGCGGCGCTCCATTTCATCGATAGATTCCTGAAAGCAAAAGATGAAGTATACAAATCTCTAATGTTTCTTGAGCCTGTGAAATTTGGTTGTTGCCGCAGAAATGATGTCAACAAATCATTTCAACTCCTTTTTCTAGCAGTTCGCTCAAGTTGGCAGACATTTTTTCTTATTTTTAAACACAAACTTCCCCACTTTTATTCATCAACTTTTATTTTTTTCTCCCAACTGAACGTCAACTTACGCGATCCAAGTTGGTCACATCGGTGCCAATCACTAACGCCTGTGCCTGGCTGCTGCTGCCGCCCGCGATATTCGCATTCTGTTGGCTGCGTGTGGGTGAGGACGACAACGCCGCCGCTGCCGCTGTCGCTGCCGCACTAAATTGGTGCACTGGCGAGCGTGGCTGCGCTGACGCTTTTTGGCTATTGAGTTCTTCATGGCGTATCTGTATTGGCGCATCCGTGTATTTATTGTATGTAGCCGTATTAATTTCGCTCATGTTGTTGCCATTCTTAAACGCATTCAAATTACTACCAGCGTATTGCCGTCCGCTGCCACTGCCGCCACCGCCGCCATGCATCGAACCGCCATTGTAGGTCGGATTGTTGTCTTCGCTAATGCTGTGCGAACGATTGAGTGGCTCCATTCTGGTGACCACCTGATGGTCGGTGCTATCCATGCTTTTCTCCTTCTTTGGCGAACGTTTCGCACGCAAGGGCGGCTTGGGACGCTTGGGTTGGTTGTCATCGAAGGATATGTAAAAGCCTTTTTCGGTTTTCGCATCACGAGGATCCTAAACGAGAGCACAATAGGGTTTAGCAGTTAATAATACTGGCACAGGCATAGGAATTTATATTTACCATTTTCGTTACCTGAAAACTATTGGCATTTACAGCGGGTCTGGACGGCGAAGGGATGCGGTACGTGAGATTGCCGCTCGTTATGTGTAGCTTTTGCGCAAGTACCTCGTTGCCACCATCGTAGCTGCCATCACTACCGTGTTGTTGGTAATGCTGTTGTTGCTGTTGGTGTGCATAATCAGATATTCGCGTATTCTGCATGGATTCGATAATGTTACGCTCTAGCTCCTCAACATCGTCCTCATCGCCGATAAAACATATACTCTGCGGTGCCATCATATCGTCGGATAACTGCTGTCCACCCGACGAATTGGAGGAAGACGCCGCTGTCGTTGCCACTTGTTTCGTTGCCATTGGCATATTACTTACAGAATGTTGACGCTGCAAGCCGCCGATACCGCCGCCACCATCGCTGTTGTGTTGCATATGCTGTGGTGAGGAGCGGAAGAGATGTTGGAACTCACCACCACCGTCATTTTGATGCAATACGAAACCCTCGCGTCCACCATTATTCTGCATTTGATTGGATTTTTTCCAGGTGTAATTGCCCTCCATCGGTAAGCAGGAACGCTGCTTCTGCTGCTGCCAAGCATTCACATCCACCAATGGCGCCTGCGGTTGCTGGTACTGCTGTTGTTGCTGTTGCTGCTGCTGTTGTTCGTATACTGATTGATTCCAGGTGCGTCGTTGCGGCTGCGAAGGTTGTGGTGACATTTCATGTGGATACATGGGATTCGGTTGTGGTGAACTGGGATCACGTCCGTAATCATCATACATACTAGCGCGATTCATATATTGTGGAGGTGTTTGATTATGGTGCGGCGCATATTGTGGCGGGCCGGGTGGACCACCGTAGACGTGGTTATTGTAAGGAACCATATTATCGGCGTACACTTTTTGTGGTTGCATGTAGTGTTGTTGTTGCTGCATCATTGGTGGCATTTGTTGCTGCTGTTGCTGAGGCACATATTGACCATGTTCGTTGATGTATTGCATTGGCATTGATGGCATTTGTTGTTGGTAGGGATCACGACTGGGCGGACGTGAATTGTAGAGATTGGCATGCGGATTGAATGAGGAATGTGCAAGGTGCGGTGTTGAGCCGAAATTGTGCTGCTGCATTGGCATTTGATTGAAATTGTCGCTGAGATGCTGCTGAGAGCCGTAGGGTTGCTGGTGGGATGGGATTGAGAATAATGTGTTAGTGATATAAAATATAAGGGATGTAAAAAATATCTTTTTGCAAGTGCGCACATTGACGTTTTAAGGTTGTTAGGGTTTTTTGCGGTTTTTATAAAAATTGTGAACTTGTTCTAGACTTTTTTTTAAATAAATAGAGGCACATTAATAAAGCTTATATTTTTATACAAAGAAGCGCTAAGAAAAATAAAGTTCCGTACGATATTACTCATGCAGATTTTAGTGTCGAGTTTTCACAAAAAAAAATTAAATGGCAAACGTTTTGAAGGTAATTTTTTTGCAGATTTTGTCATTTCAATGCCTTTCAGAAATACGACATAACAAAAATTCGGCTTTCGAAAACGATTCCAAATACATATTTTACATTGAAAAAAAAAAAAACATTTTCTTGGCCGTTTTGAAAGTTTTGTTTAATTGTTTAGTAGGTAGAGTGTAACGCAGTGGTTGCAAATATCATTTTCGAAAACAAAATTTTTAAAATTTTTGTCTACACAACAATTAATTGTTTTCAAGTGCGCAAAATTCGAAACTAATCTTTCGACTCATTTCACCTTTCAAGTCCGCAAAAATCTAACACAAATTATTTTTTCGCGTTCCAAAAAATCGAAGACCGAATTTTCATGTAATATGCTATGTATGGACGAATACTGTTTTCTCCATTCGAGTTAAATTTTTCCAATTTTTATTTATAATTAAAATTCTACTTGTTTCCTTCTTTCGAAAAATTAAACAAGGATTGTATATTGATTTCAATGTAATATTTTAAGCGTTTTAGATTGACAGGTATAGCGAAATACTCATTTCTTTAAAAAGCAGATGAATTTTTTCAAATGACATGAACATGTTCGAAAAAATTTTACAATAAACTTTACCCTTTTCTACTAACTTTTAAGACAGAACTTTTAATTTTTGTGTGTTCGAAAAAAATCGAAGATTGATATTCGAACAATTTTTTAAATTATGCTACATATCAATTCGAATTCAAAAAGCTGGTGTTGGGGCGACAGCTGCATTTTTCACCGTTGAAAGCATAATGTCAAAATGATGTGTTTGTTGTAATTCATACTGTCATTGTGCGTATTATTTGTCAGAGTAATTTTTTACTTATATACGGTAAACACCAGCTTATTAAATTTGTCTTGCTGGATGTACTAAAATTCGAAAATAAAATGTTTGCTTCTTCAGTTCAAAAGATCGAAGATTGAAATTCGAAGTTTTTCTATAATATACTGCGTGCACAAACCATTCGAATAACCTTTCTTTACTTTCAACATACTATCTATACAGAACCGAATTATTTTCGTAACATTTTCGTTTCTACACATAAATTATGTATATCGTCGGCTGAGTGAGTCCTATTTAAGCAAATTTTGATGAACGTCCTATCTCATAATTTGGTTGAAGAACGACCTATCTCAGAATTTGTTTCAATAAAGCCCTATTTCAACTGTCACTACGTACTTATTGTGCTTAAATGACCGGCTACTTGTAATCGAATGCATCTGTAAATCGCTACTAGCGATAAAACCTGCAACCTGTTGTTGACGAATAACCAACGCGTTCAAATACATGTAACCGGTGATTTAAGCACAAGAGGCATGAAGTGACTTATGCCACTTTCAAAATAAACGGCTCGTGTTGACAGCTGAGATAAAGCGGTTTTGAACCATTTGCTGAGATAGGGCAATCTTACACTCTGCAGTCGAAATTCGACTGTATTTTCATTCCACTTTTCATCCCACTCATGGCTCCTAATTGTAACCGAATATGTGACCAGTGTTATATCAATAACTACTACCTTCCTACGGAACTAATTGCCGTAGAATTTGATATTAATTGAAATTGAGCCAGATAATTACCCGAACGATTAGAATCGTTATCAATCATTTTAAATTTTTGCATACTTTTATGCCTATTCCTCTCATTTATTTTTAATTTTCTTCTAGATTGCTACCTGATTCAACATGTTCGCCATATGCTGTGCGTGCATCAGTTGTTGCGCTTGCAATTGTTGTGCTTGTATTTGGTTTTGTTGGACTGTTAGCTTTTGTATATCCTGTTGAATATCCTGCAAATTCATATTCATAATAGCCAGACTTTGCTGCATTAGAAAGTACAACAACAAATAAACAATACATATGTTAATACATTTAGGTGGTGTTAGTTAGTAGCAACGTTAACTTAAAACACGAAACTTAAAAAACCAAAACACGAGCACTACCTGATACTTATCCAAGTCGAGCGGATCAAGATCTGGTGTACGATTTGAATCGTTACTTAATGTTTCCCATTTCAGCACATCCGACGAGGCATCCAAATCCTCGCGTGCGAGCTTTATTAAAATTTGTAAGTGTAAGTACGAGTTAGGGTTAAGAAAGGTTAGTGTGGGATAGAAAAGTGAGTGCAATCATTACCTTCTCCTGGTGACGTAGCAACGCCATTTCGACACGTCGCTTGTCCTGTTCGATGCGCAAGCGTTTCTCTTCGAGTTTCATGCGTATATTGGACAATTTGGAGGCATTCTCAAGCGTACGTAAATCATCATCATAGGGATCTGAAAGAGCAGATGGCGTATATTGCAATTAGTTTATAACTAAACTACATTTTGTGCTTTACGCACCCATTTTACTATTATTCCAAGCCTCTACTTTGCTCGCACCCGTACTTTGCGTTGAACGCCTGGTTAGCGTGTGTTCATAATCATTCGTGCTGCTGTCTTTGTGCTCAGCATATTGCTGCTGCTGCTGCTGCTGCTGCTGCTGCAGCTGCTCTTCCAGATTGTCTTTTTCAATGTTATGCTGCCTGCGTGTCGATGGCATTGGACTGCTCACCGTGCTTACAATGCTATTCAGTTGAGTATTGGATGCATTTATGTTGACATTATCAGTGCTAAGGTGTAATTGGGATTGAGTTTAATAAAAAATATGGTTTCAAGCATTTAAAATAAACTTCAGTTTGCTACCTTGCATGCCGCTTCATTAAAAATTTCTCGGTCTCACGATCCTGCTTCTCTGAACCAGAATCGGTGTCATAGCCAAGTTGCAGCGTGCCGCGTGCATCTGCAATGGACGAGCGCACAGCTACCGCAGGTTCTGGAGCGAAGTTTTTTGTGATAATTTTAATAAGATAGTCTAACTTATTTTGAAACGAATGTTTTTTTCAGCACTTACCAACACTAACATTTGAGAGCTTGCGCTCCCGATCCCGCTCGCGTTCACGTTCACGCTCAAAACGGCCCACAGCGTTCAATTGATCTTGAGAGCCGCCGAAATTCTCAATAGTCAGTTGAGAATCTTCGCTGGATGAATTTCTGCGCGAGCGGCGTCCTGAAAAGTGAAGTGGGAAAGTGAGTGTGCAAACGTTTTTAAAACTTTGCTTGACACTTTTAAGTGTATTTACAGACATGTTAAAATTATGATTAAAAAACAAAAAACGAATCATTAGTGTGCGACTATAAAGTACGAGAAGCCATGCAATGCAAAAAAGCGAGAGTGCCGTTGCGGTTTGCAGTAAAAAATCTTAATTAAAAAAATAATTAAAAAAATGCATGCAGAAAAATTTAGTTTAGAGTGCAAGTAATAATTAATGCAGCAAGTGTAGGAATATTGTGTTTTTTCTAAAGTAACTGACGTACACATATAATAAAACTAAGAAGGCGGCAAATATTTGCATATATTTTTATGAACATTAATACTACGTTCATAAAGCTCAAATTTTGCATTTTTGCATTCTGTAGATATAGAAATTTTCTTACTTTTACCGCCTTTTTAGCTTTACTATATGAAAAATTTATGCAGCAATATAAATTTTTATTTGTTGTACTATTCGTGCAAATTACCTGCAAAGCTAGGACGCCGATTTTGCTCCCAATTGCTAGGTCTGCCTGCTGGTACGTATTCACCTAATTCATTGGAATGAGTTGGATTTTTAATAGAATACATATGTAAAGGTATGTATGTACATGTGGACAAGGAGTCTAAGTATGTATTGTATGTATGGCACGAGTTGGGTATGGCATGAATTTTGAATATATTTTTTAATTTTTATTTTCTGTGACTCAAATTTGAAATTTTAGAACTTCTATATTTTTTTTGTAACGTAAAAAAGCGAGATACTTAACAAATACTCATTAAAATTGCACAAATAAAAATGTTTTTAAAAGCTTTGTTACACAATTAAAAAATATGTATATTAAAAATGTTTTCTATAAAATGTAGCAAAAATTGTTTTCAGATTAAAGGTTTGAAAACCTTAACTCGCACATACGCACATACCTAAGCGAGACTTTCAAATGCTTTTGATTAAAAAACCGACAAAAAAACTCACTGAAACGAAATTTTACTTAAAACCCCGAAAACTTACTTGCTATGAAATTAATTTGAATGAACTAATACAGATTTGTGGCTGTGTTTTTAATTTAATTTTTTCCTTTCCACTGCCGGTTTTACAAAAGCAATTTAAGTGAAAAATTTCTGACAGTTTCCATATTAAATTCAAATAAAATAATAACTTTTCACTTAAATTTGTTTCGTGAAACTGGCTATTGATTTAACTTTCTTTTAATGCTTAGATTTTTAAAAATATTTTTTTTTTCATTTAAATTTTAGGAACTTATTTTACTTTTTTCTTATTTGAATTAAATTTTTTTCCTTTTTTAGTTTAATTTTCTTTTAATTTTTAGATTTTATTGTTTAAAAAGGAAAAATATTTTTTTTCTTCAATTTAATTTAATTTTTAGAAACCTTATTTTATTTATTTTTTCTTTTCATTTGCTTTTCTTTTTTTTAGTTTCTATATCGTAGAATATATTTATTTTAAATTAAATACAGAAAAATTCCAATAGAATATGTTAAATTATTTATTAATAGTGAAAAATTTTCTTTTTATAAAACTATAGAAATCAAAGAACAATGAATTTAACTGACATCAAAGCACGAAGGTAAAAAAGAATAAGCTACAATAATCCTACATTTTCATGCTGTTTAAATTTTTGGATTGTATTGTTTTAATAAGAAAAATATATTTTTTTATTTCACTTAATTTTTAGGTACTTATATTATTTGTTGACTTTTTTTAATTAATTTGGATTTAATTTGTAGATTTTGTTTTAAACATAAAAATATTTTTTTTGGTTTTATTTAATTTTTAACCGACTTCCAAAAAAGGAGGAGGTTATCAGTTCGTCGGAAATTTTTTTTTATGTATGTTACCGCATAATTTTGGACCACGCCAACCGATTTCGATAATTGTTTTTGCACCGGAAAGGTAGTGTCTCAGACGTGGTCCCATCTAATAATCTGGTTTAGATCCGATCATTGGATCATAAAATATATGAGAATTGAAGTTTTTGCTAAAATTTACTTGTTAAGTACTATTTTCTAAATGTCGTTCCAGTAGTTTTGTTCCCAAGAGCGCTTTAAAAATAAAACAAAAATGAGAACAAAACTGCCAGAACTCAATGGGAATTATAAAGGAACAAAACCCTGTGGAACGTTTCCAAAGAGAACAAAATGCGAACAATACTTGCGGCAACATTTCTAAGAGAACAAAATGGGAAAAAAGTCTCCGGAACGTTTTGAAAACGAACGAAACTGGAACAAAAGTCTAAGGAACTTTCTATCGAAGAATAATTTGGGAAATTTGAGAGACTTTTTGACAGAGAACGAAACGGGAACAAAATCTAAGGAACTCTCTCTCAAAGAATAATTTTGGAACTAAAATTTGAGGAACGTTTTGGCAAAGAACGAAACGGGAACAAATATTCTCTGAACTATTCGCGAAAAATGATAGCGAAAACAAAATTTTTCACATAGCGTTCATTAGTTTGAAATGTTTGAATACTAAAATCAATCAGAAAAGTGCTGAAAGATAATTATGCAAATTAAGTTTTCATTTTATTTAATTTTTAAAAAATTTATTGCTAAAGGGCGATCAGCATAAGACTGTGGTGAGTTAAAAGACAGTTGCCAGGATTGCCCTGTAATTTTTTTTTTAACAAATTTCCGTCATCCCTCGTCAAGTTCGTATATTAAAAGGAATTAAAAGGTAATAATGTGGGTATTCATTTAAACCGGAAAAATTTCTCAAAATTTTAAGAGTATCAACACTTTGAGTGAACTGCGAAGAATTTTAATGAAAAATAAATTTTCAATAAAATATGAGAGAAAAATAATTTAAATGAATATATATTTTTATATTGCTTTTGAACAATTTTTGGTTGCACAATTTATTTTGTATATACTTTAAATATTTTGAGTGCAATTTTTGAATTTTCGATTTACAAAATCTCAATTTCATGCATATAAAAAAGTTTTTCTTCATGCGTGATATGCGCAACACTCTCGGCAAAAAAAAAAAATCTAAAAAATCAACGGCAATTTTTAGCGGCTTGAAACCTGCTTTTTATTATACTGAAATTTAATGGGCTTCAAAATTTTCCTAAGAAATCGAATTGAATAGTTTAAAATTTTGACGAAAATTTCTTGAGTTCATATGAAATTAAAAAAATATTTTTATGGTTTTTGCTGCTGAATTAGTTAAAAATATTTTCTATAAAAAATAAGACAAATTTGGTATATCTAAATGGATAATCTAAATATATAAATTCTTCAAAACAGCAGGGTATACTTATTTTTGACGCTCAATGTACATTTAATTTTGAAAAATATATTCTCTAGGTTTACGCCGCATCCGAACGGTAGATGTTTTTTTTATCAGAAGCCGTTTCATGACATTACACTCGGCGGTTGCCATTGGCTGCCATTTAAACTTTATCGGACCAGGGACTGAGCCTGTGTGCTATTGGGTGTTAGTGCCCATATCTAACCACTCGGTCACGACGGGATAAGTCTTTCAAAATAACGGCAGGAATATTATATCCCATCTCCGTCATTAAAATGTCTGTTATATGTTATCTAGTGGAAATGCGGCATTAGTATCGAAATAAGAAAAATTGTATGTAGTCGAAAATACACATTTGGCATTTTCTTCGATAAATCCATCAGATTACGGCTTTTGTGAAACTCAAGTAGGCATTAGTAAAATCAGGTATAAAAATTCTAAAGTTAACATTTCATTGGAAACTACATGTAATATTTTACTAAAAAGCAACTGAATGTAAATATTTTAGCGTTAGAATAACAGTGATTTTAAAAAGCCATTCATAAAAGACTAATTGAATTGAAGAAAATTAAATAGTTAGAAAAGCAGCATTTTTGACAGTCTAGCTTAGCTACAAAAGTAAGCAATACAATAATTAAAAAAAATCATTTACAAAATCTCTCAACTGCACACACACACACACATACATATGTATGTACATTCATCTTCATGCATGCACGCATGTATGCCATCCAACAAATTAGTTTCATACATACGAGTATATTTACAAACCTCTTTCATCAGCCTTTGTCTCGATATTTGATTTTTCTTTCGATTGACGTAAACGTGCGGGAACCAATGGCTCCTGTTGCTGTTGGTGCTGTTGTTGCTGTGAGTGCAACGACGATAGGGTTGTGACGCCACGTGACTTATGAACAACAAAAGCTACGCAATGCATTTGAATAAAAAAATGTGAAAAACGGGAGGAAAAAATTAAAGCGAAAATTTAAATTAAAAATATCGGGCACTAGCGTCAAAAAACGTAAGCGAATTGTTTTTAAACGCAGAAATTCATTTAGATGCTCTGAGAGCATTCCTGCATCAAAGAGAAAGTTTTGAAAATAAGTTCGTTCACATTTTTTTCCGGCTAGGGCTCGATATGTTTTTCGGGTAACATAAAAAAGCATTTATGAGGTAATTTAATAAGTGATTAGAGCGCTGTTCATTGGGTAAAAATAAAATTAAATATTAACATATATGTTTATAAATAAATAAGCTTAAATAACGAAATGAATGAACTTAGAAAACATAAGATTAAATTTTGAAAAATGAAGTGCAAACTATTTTACGGCTTACGGCTAACAAATTTGCAAAAAAATATATATCTTTTAATATTTGCTTCATTTTCAGTTTTTACCTTCGTTCTCTGAATTTCTCACCCCCGCATTTTGCATTTGTTCATTTCTTGGCGAAAAATTATTGCCGTACACTACATTTGTTGTGGCCGTATAAGAAACTAAAAAGTAAAAAAGGAAAAAACAATGAACAAAAAAGTTTTAAATTATATTAAGGTAAATTAACCTAAGCCACCTTTACAGAGACTTGGATTACGAAACATGTGAATTTGAATTGGTTAAAAATTGTGTTTTCTTTATTTTCATAGCAGCAGGGATCAACTTGAGTGCTTTGGCTTTTGGTGTGCGAACAAAAATTGCTGTGAGTTTTAGTTAGACAATCACAAATAATTCGAGCAGTTTAGGCTTTTTACAGATATCGTAGAGAAGAGTGGGGAGACCGAAAGAGTAGGGAGACCGGTAGAGTGGGGATATGTACCAATAAAGTGTAGAAAAACTTAATTTTGGCAGTTTTCTGCGAATGTTGCATACATTCAGGCGCAGTTTGTATTTTTTAATGGTACTCGAATCAGAATTCCGTTGGTGGTGTAAATTTCGTTTTAATTGTGTTCAAGGAATTCCTAGAGTGTAATTTTCAGGATTTTTTAAAAAGTATTCTAAGTATCCTTTTATACAAAATTGGGGTTGAAAATTGGAAACGTTCTTTGGGAGAATTTTTGAATTAGAATGTGGCGGCTCGCATCAAGGTGTTGTTGTTTTCCAAATAAATAAATAAATGTTTAAGAAAACCATAGCAAAAGAAATAAGTAAATAAAAAATGTATTTAAAAAATATTAAATAAGCAGTAAACAAAGTATATCGTAAATGCTATAGATACTTTGAAAAAAGCATACGAAGTTGTTAAAAGCAACAAATAGAAAATTCTTTCAATTTTAAAATAATGCCGCATTTTCACTAGGCATTATTGACAAAATTAAGCATTAAAATATTTTTGTGTCCAAATAAGTCACTTAAGTCCTGCTTTCACTATGCCAAATTTAATGGCTATTGTAGTCAAACAAGAGCAATCACATTCAGCCGTATCGTCACCGGAAAACCCGACAACCCTAACGGCCTTGTCCCTGTGGACAAACCCCACAGAAGCTGCACGCTTCCTAGGGCTGCCGTTAGTGGAACTTGACGACAACGACTGAGATACCAACCGTCCTGGGCGGGGTTGTTGTAGCCGCTACAACAACAACAACAGCCGTATCGTCAATTCCATGTGAATAAATAGTTCCCATAAATTAGCAGGCAAACAAAATATAACAAATTGGGAAAAAATTATTTTGTTTTGCTTTATCACTTTTGGAAATATATGTTCACATGGAATTTGCGATAAGGCCGATTGTGAAATGATATTAAAAAACATTAATATTAGCTCAGAACAGCTGTCAGCTTTTGGACCATAATATTATCGGTAACGGCGTGGATCAAAGTGAAAAAAGGTCGTAAAAATATGACATAATGAAAACTACCCTTCAGTGTGTTTCCACGTGCCATTTTTCAAGTGACAAATTTTTAATCTTCTTTTTATTTTATGTCATTCAACGCCGAGTGGAAATTCGGCACAAGAAGAAAATTTTAAACTAAAATTAGTATTCTTTTAGGCAAAACTAGAGGTACCTCGTTCTATGAAGTATTGGAAGGAAGATATTTTAGACGCTTCACATAAAATTTCTATTCTGTTTGCAAAGAAAGTTAAGTAATAAAGTTTGTCAAAAAAAATTTAATGTATGGATTTAAAATTGTATTTATTTTAATTTTTGAAATGATAAAATTAAAGAAAAAAATATTTTCAGAAGCAGAAATTTCATTTGAAAAAATTCAAATTTAATTGAAAAATAGTTGGGTGATTTCCGTTAACCCAAGGAATTACGAAACTTAAAAACTTGAAAAGTATGTCATAAAAAAGTATGACAGTTCTGTAAATTTTTTGAGAATACCGATGTTTTAGAGGCTTTTTCATGCTCAAGAGAACCACGAATAATAAAAATTCAATTTTACCTTAGTTTAAGTCAGAGTTTATAGGCACATATTAAAAAATCAGAAGTTAAGTTTGGTAAAAATTTTAAAAAAATTTTGGATTTTTTCTAATAAAAATTGTTAATTTATCTTAAGATTTGTTTAAAAAACTATGATAAAGAATCAAGTTGTTTTGAAAATTTTTTAAATTTTAGATTGTTAATTTCCATGTGAAAATATAAAAAAAATTCAAAATATTTTTATTTTTAACCGACTTCAAAAAAGGAGGATTTTATTAATGCTCGTCGGAATGTTTTTTTATCGTTGTTAGGTTTTCTGCTAACTATTGAATATTTTTAAAATTTCAAAACAAAAAATGTTAAAGGTCTTTTACAAATATTGCAGTAAAAAAAATATTAAACATGGGGTATGATGCCGGATTTCCACCGGACTTCAAATGACAATAATTCTATTGATAAAGTTTGAGTATTAAATAATATTCGTGTTATTTCGTTAAAAATATTAGTAACTTAATCAATTTCCACTGAAATGACAAACAAATCATATAAAAATGCAATTTTGAAATGAACTTAATGACCTTTTTTTAACTATTTTTGAGTGTCTCACTTTGTTATTCACTGTCTAGTGGAAATCCGACATTATGCTGGATTTCTACTGGACACTGAATAAAAAAAATTTTATTGCAAAGTTAGGCATTAAACAACACTTTGCCATTTCAATGGAAAACCAGCATTACGTTTTTTAATGTCACTTTAATGCCGAGTGGAAATTTCGCAGTATGAAAATTAATTTCGAATATTAAACAAAACAAAAAATTAATAGAAAGCAACAATAAAAATAAAAATAAAATTAAAAAAGAACTTAACGTCTTACTAAACTTAAATAAAAAACGAACAAAAATATCGAGAAAAAATATAAAAATACGTGCGATGTGTTCGTAGGAAACTAAACTACTTATTTCTGTTTAACATTTAAGTTAGTTACATATAAAAAATATATTTTCAGTATGCCAGAAATACAAACAACTAATCACTACACAGAAAATGGAAACAATTTCAGACGAAATTTGATTTGTTCGGGAACAAATTTTAAAAACAAACAGTAACTTCTGATAAATGAATGCATATACCTTTAGTAAAAAAAATATAAAAATATCAGTATATAGGCAGATTGCACTATTTATGATTCTATTTTTAATAAAAAAAAATCATATGCATTTTCTCTATACAAAAGACTGAACATTTTTAAGAACATTGACCATCGAATGTCACTGTAATCCAAACTTGTATTTGTTTAGTTAAAGGTTTACCATTTCAAAATGTGGAACGTGTTACGACCGAACAAAGCTTAACAGTTCTTAACTTATTTTATAAAATGAGAAAATTTTCACTGATAAGGTCCCTTTAACGATTGGCATCTATGATAATAAGCAAATCTGTGGAATTTGGGATAATGAGCAGCACAAGTGACCGCTGCCAGACATTGTGTCAGCAAAAACTGACTGTTTGTTGTGCATTGTGAGTCGGCAGTCTTCGGGAACAACGAAAGAACCGTCGTAACCGTCAATTATCAGCGCCATGTCGTCTTGATCAATAACTTTTTTGAGCTTAAAACTGGAGAGTTGGATTTGGATGAAGTATGGTTTCGACAAGGGGTTACGAACTACAAAACGAGGCCTGTTATGGCTGTATTGTGCGTAAAATTCCAAAGCCGCATACCTTCGAGGTCCCGCGATGTAGCCCATTTCCTTTTTGTGGGGCTATGTAAAGGACCGAACAATCCCCACACCCATGGACCATTTGAAGAACGAGAAATTACATTTCGTATATTTTAGGAAAGCATTCATATTTGTATATTTAATGAAAACTAAACCCGAACATGCATATCGAAAAACATTTATTTTCGATACCTATATTATGCAATTCAAGAAAAGTATTAACCAATAAATGGAGAATTTTAAGATGGACGTATTTTTAATAAAAACAACATGAGTATATTGAAGCATAAAAGAGCTTTTTTATTTAGTTTTATTTTTTTTTTTTTTGAAAATTCAATCTTTCAAGGCTCAGCTATGTAGTTCACTCTTATACTCTCTTATCACTCATACGTAAATTGGTTAATAGAGTGCAAATGCGGGCCAGCCGGTGCTGTTTAGCAAAGCAGTTAGTGAGTTAAACAAAAAGGTGCGCTGCTAAAAGACAGTGTGGCACTCCGGAATATAACTGCAGTAAGGCGGCTTGCTTTAAAGCGCGTGAAATAAGAAATACACAATGCCTTTTCAATTGCACATTCAAAACGAAAGTGAAAATGAAAGCCGCGTAGTGACCATGACCACTACGTGATTCCCTGCACATGTGAAAGCTTTCGATAATGATAAATATTATGAAGCAAATTATAATTCAATGAATCGGAAAATGCATGAAAAAAAAAATGATTTGAACTTCGGCACAAAAGCATACAGACAAATTAGAAACGCAACTGTAAACATCAAAAAATCGGTGTGCTGAATTAAAAAAAAATACGCAAGGAAGAATGAATGACTGCACGCACAAATGAACGAAAACATGCACTAATTAAGGACTGCAACGCATTTTGAAACAATTGCAACAATAATTAACAAATTATATGTATATGTATGTAGTATATCGTATATCGTAAATGTAGTATGTTTGTAACACAGAACAATGCTAAACAAATATATTAACTGAATTTTGTTTTTGTATATAAATATATTTTTTTTTGGTTTTTGGTAAAGACCTTGAAATGGAGGTCGATTTGTTGGCGAGCCATAAATCGAGTCTGAATCGCTTCTCAGATCAGGAATTGGTATAACTGGCTGCGTTGTAAGACCCCTGCGATGACATATTCCATGAGCATTAACGCCAAAGTTACGTTTACTGATGACCTCTTTAATAATTTGTGGCACACAGTATACACATTACACATATACAAGATAGAGAGAGAGAAGGTATAAGTGTGTGTTTGCTTGTTTAAAATTCGGGTTAAAGAACTTTTTCTAAATGCTTCTTGGGTCACATTTTAAGGTAAAGGTACTTAAATAATCTTATCTCATTTAGAATGTGGGCGATTTACGGTTGGTGGTATGCACGATAAACGAAAATTGTATATCTTAAATGGGGAATAAAGGGAATGTGGCAGTATCTACAAGTTGAAAGCAAAGTTATCAAATAGAGACTAGTTTTTTATCGGATAAATTATTTTTATTTGACAAACTCGTAAATAACTTTCGAGTCGCAATGATAAGGTGACTTGAGAAGACACAAAAACAACAAAAAAGAGATAATAAATAAAAAAAGTAAAAATACTTGCGCGCAGAGCGAATGGCATTCATGATGAGTGTGAATGAAGCGCAAGGAGCAAACCAGTCCTAACTATTTAAGTGTGAAATTTATCACATTGTAATTAGCATTTTTTTTTTGATGTTTCTAAATTACGATATGCACTCGGGCGCTATGAGTGAATGGCGGCAAACAATTAAAGAAGAAAAAAAACAAATATATTTTTCTTTTTTCCATTCAGCAAACTAAACACAAAACAGCTGTTGCTGTCATTATAATATTTCCAAGTGCTAATGTATTGTATGTACAAATACTCTTATAGAATAAAAAAAAAAAACGAAGCAAAAAACTTCCAAAGAATTTATTTTACATTATTTTAATGCGGTTTGCTTTGCTTCCAACAGTTGTAGGCGCTCATGAGCAGATGTGCAAACAAAATACGAGAGAGGATATGCGCTAATTATAGTACGTACATGTAGCCTCATTTAGTTGAAAATTCAATTTACCTGGTGCATCCATGCCTGGATAACAAACACATTTCGCCGGATGTATTTCGAACAGAAGAAATAAATCGGACAATAATACCACCAAATTCAGCTTCATTGAACTGCAATGCAAACATGAAAAATTAGTATTTGTGAGTTACAGGCGCACCCGTTGTAAATCTTTTGTGGCTTTTTGCACTCACTTTCGCATGTAGGTGACATCTTCAGGATTCATATGGAACACATTATATGGCAAATGGTTTTGACAAAAATTGCTGACTAAAGACACATTGTGTATGGAATCCTCAACGGCTGGCAAATAATTAATACGTACAAGTGTCCATGGTAGCGCTTTTGGACAATAATATGATACAAATAGAGCTAAACAAACGCCATCACATAAACTTTGATAATCATGCACTGACGGAATGTTGGGCACTTGCAGCCGTACACCCTGTAAGTACAAATTATGGATATATACATATATACACACATAATATATTTTTGCTATTTTTAGTCATATTTTTGCAATGGCCTACATTTTCGTCTGTTGCGCCCAATTCTACCTCTCTGGCGATGCGTTTCTTCAGCGAAGAACACGCATGTGAAATCCACAGCAGCAACAGCTGATCAAATGGTTGATCATGTGGTAGAGTTTGTTGGCCATTATTAGCCGTAATTCTGCAAGAGTTAAAAAATTATAGAAAGTTAGTATTTATATACATACATATGCATTAATGAATGAATTGCGGGTGGGCAACTTACCTTCCAATGGCTCTTGCTATGCGATCGCCTGAAGTTATTTCTTTTGCATACAAAGTCATTAGTGATTGAATCACGGACATGTGGGCGTTCTGATAGATAAATAAAATCATTTTAAATTCTGCTTAATGGATGTTGTTACAGTACAATACGTTTGCAAATTTGTATTGGCCTTTATTGTAAATCTATCGTAGTTTGGATTTTCGTCCAATCTACGAAAATTATATCAATGAATCCGATAGCCAAAAGCGTAGGAAAATTTGGAATTCTGATAAGAATAGGTTTGTTTCGTACATTTAACGAAAATCGGACTATGATGTACATACATATTCAACAAAAGTCCCGAAAAAGTCTCCTAAAGTAAAAATACATACAATAGAAAATTATTACTTACTATCCTCAAAGGATTTGTTTGTATCAACACCGTTTCGGTTAATGGCATCTCTGGTGACTCAGCAGCTGGCACACCCTTACGTGACAATGTCTGCAATATGGACCAATGATTCAGACTTTGATAGTTCGGATCCGAGTATATATTGGATAATGTTTGGCAGTAAAGCGTTGCATTTCCCATTTCCACAACAATTTGCGGCTTTAAGCGTTCCTGATTATCATGATCAGTATAGAAGGGTTCACGCAAATTGTCGGGAACATTATTGTTGAACGCTTTTGCGAGAAGCCACTTCACGGAAGCACGTTGATGTGCCTATGAAAGAAATAAAAGATTAAAAATAAGTTCAAATCGGATTTGCTTTTAATATTTGCTTCTTTAATTTATATATGTATCCAGGCAGACAATTATTTTGTACATGAACTTTTCACTCTTGTAATCATTATACATGGTAGGTACCTACGTAAGTTTTTTATACTTAACGCACTCACGCTCCACACCCTACAACCCCAACTGCACACAACTACTTTATTCGATTTCTTTGCCAGCGCTACTGTTGACATAATCCACAGCATAAACGACAACGTCGACCGGCAATAATAACTACGAACAAAAACAACAGTGGAATGTTCGAACGGGACTCTGTGGTAGTGGTACTGTGTGGTAGCAGAGTTTTGGCATGCCAAAGCTTTGCTCATTTTTTGGGTGTAACCAAATTGACTGATGGCTATCAGAGTTGAAGGCGAAACAAAACGTACGATAGTGAAGATACTACTTATTACGCTTTTCTTTTAATAACATTTTAAGCTTTCAATTTCATTAATGTGCATATGCAAATTTTCAGCATTTACACAAGTATTGACTCACCTACTTTTTTGTAATTTCGATATGTAAGCCAATTTGATTTGTAACCGTATTGGAAACAG